TTTGCTTGTCTTATCTTCCTTCACTTGCTCTCTGCCATCAGCTCTGTCCCATGCCAGAGACCTTCTAAGAATCTGCCCATTTCATCTACTTCTGAAAGCCACCTGTAGGATCTGATAGTAAGTCTCAATGACCTGCCTAGGACCCATTGGCTAAGATTCTCCCTGGTGACACCGTTGGAGTCTGCTTGGGCATTTCCTCCCCTGTCAACTTGACACAAGCTAGACTTACCTGGGAAGAGGGAACCACAAATGAGAAAATGTATCCATGAGATTGGCCCATAGACAGGTCTAGGGCATGTTCATGATCGATGGTATGAGAGAGCCCAACCACTGTGGGTGGTGCTATCCCTAGGTAAGCAGTCCTGGGAGGTGGCTGACCATAAGCCCAGGAAGCTAGCCAGTAAGCTGCACTCTGCCATGGCTTCTGCTTCAGTTCCTGCCTCTAGGTTCCTAACTTGAATACCTGCCTTAACTTACCTCAGTAAAGTGTAAGATGAAATAAACCTGTTCCTCCCCAAATTGCTTTTGGTCTTTTTTTTTTTTTTTTTTTTTTTTTTTTTTTTTTTTTTTTAATCACAGCAATAGAAACCCAAGACACTGCCTAACCCAAAGTTCACTCATTTGCTCCTTCAAAGTGATCTTGTTTTCAATACTGGGCCTCTGCTTAGGTTGCCCTTTGAAATATTTCTTTGACAGTTTCCATATGCAGTAAATTCTCTGCCCTCAAAGACTGGCATTAATGGAGTTAATAGAGATGGGGCCTTGATGGTTCTTGCCAACCAATATCAAGAACTGAGTCCTGTCCCCAGTGCTCTCGACAAAATATAGGTACCTCATTTGGGACCATGGCATTTACTGGCTCAAAGATTGCAGGTTCTTAGTCTTTGTAGCACTATGTCCTCAAACCTGAGGGACTGTGTAGCCCATGAACAAGATGGAGCAACAATCACTATTATCTCACCTATTTTTTTTTTTAGAAAAACAAACAAAAAAACAGAACTTTTTTTAAGTTTGAAATAATTAGTCTTACAGAAAGATGCAAAAATGCTACAATTGCAGACAACCATCGACTAACTTCTCCTACCAGCAATATCACATCACAAACCTAGCATAATGCACAAACTAGGAAAGTGGTACCCGTCTGTTACTGCTCAGTAGACTTTACTGTTTTCATCTTTGAGCCTGTACTCGTTTTAGAGCACTTTTATGTACTACATATTTCCATGTAACAAGCTTCCACAATAAAGACAGACAACCATTCTACCTCTGCTGCATGGCTACTTTGTATTTTGGGACCTGCCACAACTGGCACCTGTCCCCTCGCAACCAGTTATCTGTATCCTCTATAATATTATTTTGAAGTTTTTTAAATACAATAGGAAATCTTTTGAGTTTGTTTTTCAGCAGCCATACTGTCCTTGAGGTCTATCTAGGTTGCAGTCATGTACCAACAGTTCATTTCTTGCCATTGGTTATGCTACATAGTTGGGGGGGGGGCTGTGTAGGGACAATTTCCCTCTCAGAAGTCATATTCTCCTGCCCTGGCTACATAGGTAAACAGTAGCAAGGGATGAAAACAATCCTCCCACAATGCAACGGATGTAGGTTGAGATCTGGTGAGTTTCCAGTATTTTTCCTATCACAACTAATCTAAGAACATCCATGTACAAGTTTTGTGTAAGTATAAACTTTTATTTCTCTAGGAAAAATACTTAGGTACAACCATTGGTCACAATGTCAGTTTTCCAGAATAGCTGTACCATTTTCCATTCCTACCAGAAAATAAGAAACCCAGTTCTTCCAGTCCACATCAACACTCAGTGTTTTCACACTTTCTTGTTTTAGCCATGGTAGTAGGTGTGCAATGATATGCCACTGTGGTTTTAATTGCTATTTTCTACTAGCTAATGAACATGTTTTCATGAGCTTACCCATCAACTCTACCCCCTCATATGGTGTAATGGCCACTGTTGTTCCCCTATTTTGCAATCAGATTGTGGCTGTTGGTGTGTGTGTGTGTGTGTGTGTGTGTGTGTGTGTGTGTGTTTATTTAGGGCCTGGAGCTTGTTGTTCATACTTAGAATGGGCCCTTTCACTGCCAAACATTTTCTACTGAATGAGGTAATACTTTGATGGCCAGTTTCTCCCTTAGAAGAAATTAAGGATGTGCCTGAATCTACATAAGGGAACTGAGAGAAGTCCTTATGTACTAGGGAACAGGCAGACACAAAGGACATGACAGCTCAGCAGTATTGTCATACAATTAAATGATAATGCATATGAAAACACCTAGTTTAACAGTGAATTACAAATCATGTGTATTTTACTACAAAAGAGACAGAATATTTTTTTCTCTTACAAAGCAGGTGTCCTCTAACACACCACAGCTCTTTCAGTCTTTCTCTGCTGAGGAATTATATTGGCTACATCTGTGATCTCTGCTTCACCAACTTCTATGTTCTTTATATGAATCAATAATATTTCATAATCTGGCCAAGTAGGAATTATTATTGTGCATCAAACTTTGCCAAGTGTAGGAACACAAGGACTATTTTCTCAGAAGTCACTCTCTCCCCCTCTGGCTACATGAAGAAATAGCGAAGACTGAAAATAATCCGCCCACCACACAAAGGATTCAGGTTGACTTGTTGGCAAGTGAGATGACGAAAGACTGAAGGAGATGTGCCTTTGTTCAACTAGATGCTTTGCAGGAACCATATGGTGTGCAGCAGGATTTCTAGTTCAGGACATCTGAGAAAAACCATCTTCAGACTTCAGTTGACCATCACCTTAGAACAAGGCAAACAGGATGGAAATGGGTTTGCCTTTGATTCCAGCACTGACATGGCTGCTCAGAACCATCTGTGACTCCAGTTCCAGTGCTCTGATGCCCTCTTCTGGCCTTTGTGGGCAATGTACACACAGTGTAACAGACATAGATGAAGGCAAAATATTCACATATACAAATAAATAAATCCTTTTAAACTGAGAGTAAAAGGATTTTGAGACCAAAAGTTTGAGTTTATTTTAAAGAATTCAAAACACAGCAAATACATTAGAAGTGATAAGGACAACATACGAAAGATTGGAGAGAAGATACAGAGAAGACAGAGTGATAGATGTTGAGACCAGCAAGTGTGTAGAATGGGGAAAATGAAAAAAAAGGAATGTCCTACAGGTTCAGCCTTAATGATTTGGGTGGATGACTAAGGTACAAGAAAATAATGGGAACAGTACAATTTCACTTCAACATGAAACAGAGGTTGGCCAGGGAACAACAGAGAAACAGCTAGAAAAATGAACTACGTGTGCCCTGAAGCAAAGACACAGCTGGGTAGGTAACACATATAGGACCAAGGTGGCTTTGATTGATATCTGTCACAGCTTGACATTATCTTAGAAAGACATTACCTAGACTTCAGCTTGTCTCAGATCATTGTTTCCAATTTCTTCTTGGAAGATAGCTCTACTTTCTCTCAAAAGCATCTCTGTATTGACAAATCTGGAAGTCTCTGGACTATAATTACTTAACTAAGTGGTCTTTTACAGTTCTTTTTCTTGGCTAACTGTCATAGATAAATGACAGTTTTAAAGAGACAGCCTGCTGTTGTTAGAAAACCATACTACAAAGATAGAAGACATCATTCTCATTGGTCAATTTGTGGACTTTGCTATCTTCAGCATGTAAAATAAACTGCCTGAGATAAATCAATAGGGCTTCCTTAGATCTAAAATTGTAAGAAACGGGCATCAACTCCTATCTTAGAAAAACAAACAAACAAAAAACACCACATGCATCATGCCCTCCAGAAGGGACACAGACAAACCCATGGCTGGGCTTCAGACTACAGTTGTTCCCATGTAAAGCAAAGTTTGCTTAAAAGACGTGTCTTTAGAATTTAGAGACCCAAATATTAGTATTCTGTCAACAAATTCACTTGACTTGACATTTCTTGATTTCACAAAAAAAGTATATATGTATGTATGTATGTATGTATGTATGTATTTATTTGGTTTTTCAAACAGGGTTTTTCTATAGATTTCTTGGATACTATCCTGAAAATCTCTTTGAACTCAGAGATCCGCCTGCCGCTGCCTCCCGAGTGCTGGGATTAAAGGCATGTGTCACCAACGCCCAACCAATTTCACAAACTTTAACCACATTCTGTTGGTACTCAATCCCTCACCTCAACACTTCATACATCATTACCTTTCTAGACTATTCACATTCCCTCACCCCAACACTTCATACACTCAGCACGCACTGGGCTTGTGAGTCTTAAAGGGCATCTCCATCCCAGTGATCACTTCAGTCGATGACTCACAGACTTTCTTCAGTTCTACTGGATTTTCTTAAATCTATACAAGTACAAATGGATGAGTTACTACAGGAAAAAAGTACTGTTAGGAAAAACCACCATCATCCTCCTGGGTTTTTGAGGCAATATAATAGCTGTCATGTCCATGGACTCATTCATAGAAAACTATAGTTCACAACGAGGCTTATCTTTCACTTTTCTTGCAGGAACATTTCTTCCCATATGAAATTTTATACAGTAGCTCACTACATAAAACAGACAATAAAGCACAAGCAATCTGGTCATGGTTTATAAACAAAGGACAAGAGTCCCAAGCTCAGTGAGCCCCAGCTCCTCCTTCACACTTTCCACCTGTAACAAGGGCAGACTCCTGAGGATGCTTCCTGGGCAGAGTGGAAGACAGGAAGAAAACCACCATTGACATTTGTCTTCAGAGTACCAAAGCTCCAGTGAGCTAATGACTTCCTAAAGCTTCTTTATTGACGTCAAAAAGACATTGTGAAATTCATTTTTTTTCCTCAAATTACTCAAACATACAGAATATAAAACAGGATTTCTAGCAGAGTAAAAATATATACTGGCTATCACTGCGGCACATAAGGAAAATAATTAGGAATAGCTAGAAATCATTCCCTCAAAGTGTCAACCTAGTCCCACACGCAAGATCAAACACATTAGTAGTGAAGTGGATCAAGATTACTTTTTATTGCATGTTTGCTTACACATCTGCTGCTTGTGGGTGGAACTGAACTGAAACACTGAGTTAGCTTCAGTCAATTTCCCATGAACTGAAGTCAAGCGGTAAACTGCCTACATATTCCCAAGGAATCTTTCCCAGAACTTAGGCATTAACATTCTCATTTTATCTACATATCAAAGTACACATTTTAACATCATTTTCCTTTTAATTTTAAACACTCAAAAACAAACCAAACAGCATACTATAAAGAAATCAAAATTTACATGTACACGTATAATCTAGGCTCACAGAACTTCTGATTACACAGTACAAAAAATTAACTATAAACAATCACTAGGGCAAACTATTCAGTAATCCTATGTTTGTTTTAGAAAATCTTAACACTTTAAGAAACTGATTCTTTCACAATTAGTCATTCCTATGACCTCTCTTGCTACCTTCCCACCCCAACAAAAATTCATGAATCCAAATCTCCCATAGAAGCTATGATTGTTGACTAACCTGTCCAGAACAGCTAGGAAGAACACAGCATTTCACCAGGTTCAACTTTAAAGAGGCCTAAGAAATTAACAGCCCAATGAAAAGGCAACAACAGACATTTCCTGTGGCAAGCAGCACATTCTGGCCATTAGTGATCAGAAGTAATGACTGAGGCTCCTACCTTAATCTCATCAATATCTTATTTAAAAACATATGTGGTAAACTCTTCTAAATTGCTTCATATTCTCAAATGAAAATTTGAGAATTTTAATGAATCATTCCTAAACTGTATACTTCACCCCTATTTTCCATTGTAAGGTAATTTAGAAGAAACAATCCAACCAATATTAGCCTAACATTTTTCCTGACACATCGTCACATAACAGTTACTAAAATCACAATTTTGAAAAATTTCTCATTAGTCATACAAACATTATAAACTACAGGAAGAAATCATATCCACTTTTATTCTGACTAGAACAACATGCTACCAAATATGTACGAACGCTTGTGCAAGGGTTTTCTTTATGTAAGTGTAGCAACCACAACCTTGGGAGCAGCAGCCTCTCTCCAGTGAGCTAGCACCCATGCTTGTTCCACATAGGCGCTGCCAGAGGCCCCTGTGCTGTCCTCTCAACGACGACAAACTCATCAGGGTTGCCAAATGCCTCATAGAAAACCAGCAAGTCTTGTATCGCATGCTCCTCAACCTGGGAGAAGAGAAGGAAAGAAGATTTGCTTCTCTCTTTAAAGTAGAACAGATTAGTGGGATTAGTAGTTTTCTGACTTCCTTTGGAGAAACTGAGGCTTGATATAGACACAACACAGCAGAACTGAATCAGAAAGCTTCCTAGTTACCCGGCCTTGCTAGAAACCTTGAGTCTGAGATGGAATAACCAGATACCTGTTCTTATTTCAATTCAATCCTCTTCTTCAAAATGGCATGTCCATGTGTGAGTGTCTGAGTGCATGTCTGTGTGCAAGTGCAGCATCCTTGGAGGCCAGTAGAGAACCTCTGAACTCCCAGGACTGGAGTTAATGGTTGTGAGCTAATCGATGTTAGAGTTGAGAACCAATCCAGGTCCCTTAAAAGAGAGATGCATGCTCTAAGCTAATTTGCATCCTAAAGTTAAGGGAAAGGAAACTGAATTGAATTCCTGGGATCCATTCATGCTGGCGGTTTCAACCTGTGAGGTCTTCTACTGCTCCTGCACAATCCTCTACAACTTGCTTTTGTACTCTCCAGTGTCATGGGGCTTTATCTTTTCCCAGCCCGCCTCTCTAATCTTTCAGATATGTCTGTGAAATCTTCCATCTCTCAAATAAATACTCTACCATAAGGTAAGCCACAGATGCTCTCTGTTGTCTATTATCTACGAGCTGAGGTAGAAACTGAGAAGAGCAGCCACCACCAAGTTCTTTGAAAACTTAAAACAGTCCAAAGAACTGCCAATACTAAAAACAGAAACCTGATCATAATGTGCTAGTTCAAATTATCCTGAATAACTCCATATTCAAGTTAATGGATATTTCAGTCTAGTTTTATATACATTTAAATTTTAATTTAGTAGATCTAGTCAAATGTTCAAAGCCAATCAATAAAATTTCCTACAGATCTATAGATGGATGTGATAGTGACACCAATAATACATCATTTGGAAGGCATAGGCAGGAAAACTGCCATGGGTTCGAGGCCAGTTTGGACTACAAAGTTAGACACTATCTCAAAAATACAAATAACAACAAAACCCAAAGACCTAGGACTGAAATGTAGAACAGTCTTCGCCGAGCTAAAGCTGAGCAAGTGTGTCACTAACCTGAATGAGAGCCAAGGGTTTCTCCCGACTTCTGATGAGTGCGGCTTCTTGTTGCCGCTCTTCTTCTACAATAGACGCAAAAGTGACAGGAGCGACTGCGGTAGAAGCAGCCAGTGAGGAAGACAGCCAAGGACTGTAAGAATGACAATAATGGCTTTTATTCAGGTCCTCAAAGTTCTGCACGGAAAATTTCCTATAAAATGTTACTTAGCAATGCTGTTTTCCCCTTAGGGATTATTACTTAATAAAACCTGGAAGCTTTTGCAGAAATTACAAAATAGTGAAGTGAAAACACAGAAAAGGAAAATTATTTTACTTAAATAAGTGTTACAGGTTAAATTTTAGAAAATTCTAAAAAGTAAAGGTATAACAGAAATTATATAACTAACTCTTATTTTAGAAAAGCAGATATTCAAACAATACAGTCTAGTAATTTCAACTACCCAATTATCCATTTCTTAAATATACTTAAGAAATTAATTTGTTAATTAATTTCAAGGGCCACAGGTAATCAATTAAGCTTACTTGGGACTCTCTAGTAGTGGAAAATCAGAAACATGATTGCTTTCTAGTCCTGGACTTCCATGAGTTGAACATCTGTAAAACAAATTCCAAAAAACTTGGATTAAGGCTTTCAGTAATATTAGCAAAACTACTTACATAGAGCAGAGCCATAAGCTCCTGATTCAGAGACAAATTACTGTTTACAACCACACATCAGATGCTGAAAATTATCCTGTTGGTTCTGGGAACCAATTAAATGTACTGACAATTTCAAAGACACACAAATAATTACTTAGTTGTTAAATAACTACAGTACATCAGTAGTTACCAACTATTAAAGAGGAATAAAGGACGGATATGATCAACGTTCAACATAGCTATATATGGAACTACCACAAGGAAACTACTATTTTCTACAACTAATATTAGCAAATAAAGGATTAAAAAATCCTTTGTTAGCACTGCTGGCTAACAAAACAAAATTAATAGTCTAAGGAGGTTTCAAACCCAGGGCCTGTTAAATCTACGTAAACTAAAATTTTAAGAATAAAGTTTTATTCTATTCTACATAATGTTTCATATTTTACAATAAGCCTCAATAGGTTTGTACAACAGGGTATTATGGCCTTTACTTCCTATATGATGACATTCAGAAAGGGCTACAATGTTATGCTGAAACATCAATCTGAGGACTGCAGATTTTATACAATGGAGAGCACTTGGCTAGCAAATCCCCAGAAGTTTTTAAAATGGAGAAAATCTGTTTCATAAGACTATAATCCCACAACTCTTTCTACTAATAATCTTTAACGAGTAGTTACATTAATCATTTCTTTATCCAAATAACTTGGGAGTACATCAAAATTTCATCATAAAACATAAGAAAGCTATTAAATAAAACAGCTAGAATTTTTAAGATTTCTAAGCTTTCAAATAATATAAAATTATTAAGTTTCAGATATAAAAACAAAACCAGGCATTACAATATAAAACTGGTATGTAATTAGTCTTCTTAAAAAGAAAAAAAAACCCAAAAGGTTTTCTAAAATATTCTTTAAAGATTTTTGTTTAAATTAAAAAGTACTGTCTATTTTAGATGTTAAAATAACTAAGCTATTTTTGCTTAGGTAGTATCTATTTATAAGATTTTATACTAGCTTTATTTTAAAAAATTATCTACCATTAGAACTAATATATAATATTAGTAATTTTGTTCTAAAATAGTTTTTTGTGGTGATTGGAAACAGTGCACAGTTTCCCAGTAGAGAAACAGGGTTATTTCAGTGAAAGAAAAACAAAGCACAAACACAACAAACAAAGAACTAAAAGAAATAACGAAAAATCCTTTCCTTCTGCATTTTAACATCTCCAGATGATACTGTCTTTCTTTGCCTGCCATTGCCTTAGGGACAAAATTTTTTTTAAAGTCACATTTTATACAATTAAGACATAATGTGTGGTGTGTAGACCTTCCTCAGCTGAGTCCCAATCCTTACACTCTGACCCCCGAGGACCACCAGCATTCCTGTCTTCCTGCTTTTCTCCCACTATTTCCTGTTTATGCTGTCTTTTCTCCTGTTTTTTTAAATTTCTTCTTTAAAAATCTCAGCCCACATTCCAAAGCCAGTGACAATAAAAAGGATAAACAATGCCATGGCCTGTTTCTCTGCTATCCCCATGGTCACACATTAAAACAAGGCAGATTAAGGCTGTAGCATCCAGAGCTTTTGCTCTTCCTATACTTCTAGCATGTATGACTCTCCCTTCATGGTGTCCTCTTCCATGCTGCTATACTGCACTGTCATTTCACTCTGCCTGGGCCATTTAACTTCACATATACAGATTCCCATTTATTAAACAGACTTCAAACCCATTAAGGGCTACGTCTGTATATTATATTTTTATATATTGCCAACAGAAGCCAGTACAATTCTGTGCCTCTACACAGTATCCCATAATTTGGTGAGTATTTTGTCTGTAGTGTTTGTATGTCCTTTTTGAAAAAACTTACTTGTGACTTACATGTTTTCCATGGTTAAATAAAACAGGAAACACAAGCTATGCTTTTTTCCAAATCTTTATCAATTAGCCATCTATATAAAAATTAATTCCCACATCAAGTTATTGATACATGATCTTTTAACTCAAACTTCCAAAGTCATACAACAGCACATACTTCTCACAGTTAAGTCCCAATGTGACAGCACACCCTAGTGACCAACTAGCAAACCACAGATCCTTAAGATTTTTTTGAGTTCCATGACAAATCGCAACTTAAGTATTAATGTTTACACTTTCAAATTTATGCATCAGAGATAGCCAATGAAATTCACTACATTCAAAACAAATATTACCTGAAATTTTTTTTAAGATTTATTTATTTATTTTGTATAGAGTGTAGTGTCTTCATATATCCCTGCAGGCTAGAAGAGAGCACACCAGATCTCATTACAGATGGGTTGTGAATCACCAGGAGGTTGCTGGGAATTGAACTCAGGACCTCTAGAAGAGCAGCCAGTAACCCTAGCCAACTCTCCAGCCCAGGAGTTACAATTTTAATTCATTTATTTATTCATTCACCAAATGCTCATTAAATGCCCATTCTAAACATGTGTATATAATGACCAGCAAAGAGAGGCATCATCCTTGCTTTAATAATACTGATAAATGTAAACAAATGCAGCACTCATACATCAGACAATAAGCTGACTCACACCTTTAGTCCCAGCCCCTGGGGAGGCAGACACAGGGGCATGTGCATCTCTGTGAGTTTGAGATGGGCCTGATCTACATAGCACATTCCAGGCCAGCCATCACTATATAATAAGATCCTATTTCCAAGCAAACAAAAGAATCACTAGCAACAACTCTAATGATGCAACAGAAGCACGATAGAAATATGTAAGAGGAATAAAAATAATAATAAATGAAGTAAGACCCTCTAAATACCCAACTGAATAGACTATGAAGAGTTGGAATCAAAGGTCCAGGTGATGCAAAGGACAGGTGTGAACAAGAGAAAGTCAAAGATAGCATAATACAGAGGTTATTTCCTAAGACAAAGTGAAAGAAACTGACAGAAGCCAGGCTCTGTAGATCTTGAAGGCTGTATCAAGAATTCTAGCTTTTGCTGGATGGTGGTGGCACACACCTATAATTCCATCACTCAGGAGGTAAAGGCAGAAGGATCTCTTTGAGTTTGAGGCCAGCCTGGTCGACAGTTTGAGTTCCAGAACAGCTAAGGCTACACAGAGAAACCCTGTCTCAAACAAACAACAAACACAACAATAAAAACCTTTTATCCTCAAAGCATTAAGTTCTATATCTTTAAAAGAGAACACATTGACTCAATGTAGTGATGGAAAGGAAGAAAAAAGACTAGGCATGGAACCACACTTATAACTAGGGTAAAGGGTCATGATGGTATGAGTGGGGGTAAGAGCCTTGGTTATGAAGTTTAGTGTAGGTATTAAACATTCAAGAACTAAAATAGACTATTATTGAGAAAAACAGAGACTAGCAAGCATTACTTGTTAATACTAACTCTGAATGTACAAGAAGTTATAATGTCTACCCTGCACACTTTTAACATCATTTCAGACCATGAAGCCCCCACAGAATATTTTAAGGTAGAAAATATATTAGTTAAATTTATTTACCTCACAACATTTAGGGCCTGAGAGTTTTCAATTCCTTTAAAACCAACTTTTTTGACATGATCTACTGAACCATGGCCAGTAACAGGTTTTTTTTCTCCTAGTAAGAAATCCCGGAATGACTTGGATGAAGGTGAGTGTAGAGAAGCCCTGCAGAAGGAAACAAAGACCATGTTAAAACACTTCGCAAAGGGACATTAAAGGAGACAATATATAGTATGAAACTGTCAATGAACAACAAAAAAAAAAAATATAAAAACTGATTGCATAGGTTTTTAAACAAAAAGTTTTAAAAACAGACCAGCTTCACAGATTTTTGTTTTCTCCTACAACTGTTTATTCCAACAGAGCTTCAGTGCTCATGGTTGAACAAGGCATGATATACTTATTTTTGTCAACTTGATACAAGCTTAGGTCATCTTAAAGGAGGAAATTTCAACTGACAAAGTGTCTGTATCGAGCTAGCCTGTAGGAAAATCTGTGAGGAATTTTCTTAACTAATAATTAATGCAGGTAGGCCCCGCACACTGTTGGACCACCCTGGGCAGGTGGTCCTAAACCACGGGAACCAAGCCAATAAGCAACTGCCTCCATGCCCTCTGCTTCAGTTCCTGCCTTGAAGTTCCTGCCCTGACTTCCTTCAGTGATGGACTATGACCTGGAACATGTAAGCCAAACAAAACCTTTCCTCCCCAAGTTGGTTCTGGTCTTTATTTTAACATAGTAAAAGAAAAGCAAATTAAGATACAAGAAAGCACTTTTATTAAATGACTATTCAAAGTGTATACAAAAATAATAAGAGGGGAGGATAGTCTCTAAAATTTTTACAATAATTTAATTATAACTTTCAATGTGGTAGTTAGAATTTTGTCAAATTTGGAATTTTGCAACAATAAAAATTATGCCTTAAGAGAAATGAATTACTATATACCTAAGCTGAAGATAAACTCTAGGATGTTAAAAAATAATGATACTAAAATAGCTACTACTAAAATAGTTCATCTGTTTGGGATGTATGCTGGCTAGCTTTTTGTCAAATTGACACAGGCTAGAGTCATTTGGAAAGCGACTTTTGATTAAGAAATTGTCTCTATAAGTCTGTCAGGCACTTCACTGACTAATGGCTGATGTGGGAGGGCACCGCCCACTGTGACTAGTGCCAACCCTGGGCAGGTGGTCCTGGGTTGTATAAAAAGCAGGCTGAGCAACCCAGTATATTCCTCCCTGGCTTCAGTTTCTGGCTTGAGGTCCTGCCCAGACTTCCCTCAATGATAGACCATGACGAGGATATAAGGAGGAACAAACCCTTTCTTTCCCAAATAGCTTTTGGTCATGGTGTTTTAATCACAGCAATAGAAACCCTAACTCGGACAGGATGGATTACATGACAGATAAAGGACTTAGCAGAAGAAAAGAAATGAAAACATATCAATGGCATCTCAAAAGTGAAACACAATGTTTAAAAACAGTTTATTTGGATGGACTTGCAGACTGAGTCAGTAAAGGGGATAAATCACTGGAATTGTTGAAAGTGAAGAATGACAATGACTGACACTAATTTAAGTCAGCCTTGGTGAGTTATGAGACATTAAGTGGCTAACCTACAGAACTAGAGAACCAGAACCAGCAGACAGATAGAAAAGACAAAAACGTCAATCAGACAATGGCTAAAATTTTTCCACAAATGGTAGGAAACATAAATTTAAAGATTAAAAAATGTTAGCAAACCCCAAAGACAAATGCAAAGAAAACTGCCCTTAGGCAAACTAAATTTTGATTTAAAGATAAAAGGAAAAGTTGGGGCCCAGCACACTTAGCCTAGTATGCAAGAGGCCCTGAGTTTGGTACCAAAATGGGAAAAAGTGTGGGTGTGAGTGTGTGCGAGTAGTGTGTGTGTGTGTTATGTTTGTGTGTGTGACTCTGTGTGTGTGTGTGCATGCAAGTGCATTCGTGAGTGTTTGTTGTTGGTGGTGGTGTTGGTGGTGGTGGTGGTAGATGACCTGAAAGCAGACACAGAAATATATCACAATATTAATAAGGCTAATTTGATTTAGAAACAAACACAAAGCAGTAGAAAGAAATCATTAACACACCAAGAAAAAGAAAAGTCTTAGTCTAGCTTACATTTCCAAATAAAACTTTAAAGCCATTAACAGGTCTTGACTGTGTTAGATAAGAGCCAGAGGCCAAGACCCCTGAACCAGACAATAAACACTGAAGCTGCTTTGCAGGGAAAATATGTTATGAAACAACAGATAACACAATGGACCACAGGAATTACAAAGGTAATGAGGAACTACTGTAAAAAACCCAATGGAGAAAAGTATGGTAATTTACATGGTATGGGCAAATGTATTTAAAAGAAAATCTATTACCAAAGATTAAATGTTCGTATACCCAACAGAGATAAATCTGGAGAAGAGGCTAGGTGGAAGAAATCAGAAAATGCACCTATTTCCAATTCTACTGAAATTACATATTATATTCCAATTACATATATTCTAATTGCATTACATTCTAGAATAGATAAAACTAATCTACCAGTAACAAAGAAAATTACCAATCACTGGCTTTGGGACAAGAAGAGAACAATGATTAGAAAGAACATTCCAATGAGAATGTTCTAAGACAACAGCAATATCCAATAATACATAAAAACAACAATATAAAGTTAAGAAGAGGGGTTTATTTCAGTAACAATAAAAACATACCAAAAGTTAAACAATGTATGTAATTCATCATATTAAGATGACAGGATGAGAAAAATCCTATGAAAAGTTCTGTGATCCAGTCAACAGAGGCTTCACAAACAAAATACTTAGGAATAAATATATGTGAGATTTGTACATGATAAACACTGTTGAAAACGCCCTTAAGGGTTTAATGTTTACAATTTGGAGCATACTAAATTGTCAGTCCTCAAATTGATCTACAGATTTAAAATAATTACCAACAAAAAAGCCCATCAGTATTTTATCTGTTAATACTTATTTTTGACAAAACTCATGTAAACATGCAAATGATAAAAGTAAATAATTTTGGAAAATGTCTGAGAACTTAATGGTCCCTGATTTCAATGCTGACAGACATTTCTCATGTCGGTAGAATGGAGGAGGACACAGACCTAACAGAACTCAATAACAAGTCTAGACTAAACTCACATTCACTTCCAGAAATATACCCTTTCATCAGCAGATGCTGTGTCCACATTTAAGGTTATTTATTTTAAGTAAAATCTCAAGCACTATGAGATAAAAAACTTCTTTACAAATCTGCATTGGAACCATGAACTAATGAGGTATTTGTGTTAAAATGAAAACTTTCAAAAAATTAAATCTGAACTTGGCTTTATCATAAAAATTTTGGCCATAACACATACACACATAATACAAAAATCAAAAGTATTCATTTCCTTTGCAGTCTCAACCCTAAGTCACACATCTGAAAGTAAGGATGGCACAAAGGTGCAGAGACCATGAGTGACTGGAATCTGACAGACAAGCAGATCAGTTCTAAATACAGAACTCTGTAACTCCCACTATGAAAGCACAGGCTCAAGAATTTAGGAATTCCCATGTAGTAAACAGCATATACCCTGCCAGGTTCTTTCCAGACAAAAACAGTTCTTCGCTTAGCATAATAAAACTACTAAAGAATAATAAGAGCAGTTACAGACTATCTTAAACTCACACACTCATTAGCCATGCAGGGTAACCACCTATAAGGCAGTTAATGCAGCCAGCTAAGCAAGTCTGGCCCTTTCCATCGGTTATGCCCAGATTTAATACAGTGTCTTGTTTCCCACAATTTTACTTTCCGAACTCAGGCTTTGGCTATTTTCTACTCTAAAAGCCACATAAAATTTATGAAGAAATATTTGCAGAAATTTATATCCATACAAAAATTAGTCAGGATTTTGGTTCCTTAGCCTCAGCAACTTTAATGAATAAAATTTCCAGGTCAAAAAGGTTAAATAACTGCAATTATTTTACATAAGCTAGCTCAAAAGAATTTACATTCAGACATCGAGCCAGGCCACAAAGATCATATATTTTCCACAAGATGATAGTGAAAAATACTTCTCCAAGTAAAACATTTGAAAATGAAAAGTGCCCAGATCCCACACACACTCAATGTTTCATATTAGTTTTAAAATTCAGTTGGCTAGAACTTCATTCTAATGTAAAACCCCATGCTAGTTAGCATTTTCCATGGCCACACCTAATTGTAGGTAGCAAGGGTACAACTATATCTTGGGAACGTAGAGAGTTATTGCATGTATATGTGAATAGATCAGTAAACTCTACCACAATTACAGTGGAAGATTTGGCAGGCTCATTTGTGCTTTAATTAACTACACATTTAACATTAATATAAAGACAAATATAAAAACATCTACAAAAGAAAAATTTCATTAGGTGATTTGCAGATAATGAAATGTAAGTAACTTAAAAAATCACTACTGCAGGATGATGTGGTGGACTTTGTGGAGCCCCCGTTGAGGGCCCTACCCTGCCTGGGGAGTGCAGGGTGGATGGGTGGGGGGTAGGTTAGGGTGGGGTAGGAGGGGTGAGGGTGAGGGGAAGGAGAGGGAGAAGGGATTGATATGTGAAACAAGCTTGTTCCTAATTTGAAATAATAAAAAAAAAAATCACTATTGTCATTAATATTTTCTGTAAAGATAGCCTACAAATCAAATACTAATTTTAGATTTATTTTCTATTTTTCTAAACTAGAATATAATTTAAACTCTGACAATTATTTTTCAACTAGCATGTACAAGGGATGGTGTCTCAGGAGTAGTCACCATACATTATACCTGTATCTGACTTAAAACTCAAATTATGTATTACATTGACTAATGTGATTAATTGTATTTTATGTATTCTGTGCATAATTAACAATTATAAAATATATCAAAAGAAGCATATTATATTCATTTTAATTTTAAGCTCAATTTAAGCTATATAGACATACAGGAATTCAAGAAAGAAAAACCCCCAATAACTAATAATATAAATGTATTCTTTAAATTTATAACAAATACTTTCTGATCTGTGCCAATAACAAGATAAAATGCATATAACCTCACAGTCTATTATATTCACATATTATGTATATTATTCTAAATAGATATCTACACATATATACTTGTATATACATTTTTAAAAGTTGCTTCAGTTTAATGTTTGATAAGTAAAAATAAAAGCAATGTATAATATATCCTAAAGAGTTTCACAGAAAAGCAGTTTTGGAAAGACTCTAAAGCATGCTTTAGTATAGTTCAGTGGCAGAGAGCTTGCCTTGCATAACTAAGGCCCTAGGTTCAATCTCTAGCACCAAAGGGAGAAAAAAACCTTGAAGATGAAATGCAGTTGAGTCTAAAGTTATAAAAGAACATTAAGCATAAACCATTATTTTCAACATTAATAAATTAATTCAGATACCACTTCTACTTAGAACTCAAAATAATCTGTATTTGGTCAGTTGTATAAATTGTCTTGATATCTTAAGATATATAAAATTAATCACTCATTTGTTTGCACTTAAGTTTTTCAGTTGTATTTTTATCAAGTTTGTAATAAATATCCCTTGTATTTAATCACAGCACAATTATTTTTCAAATAAAATATCCTCATATTTCTGCCAAACTCAATGGCATGTTTCTCCCCATATTCCTAGCACTCTCCTTAATAAGCAATACTAGATTCCTTCTGCATTTTGGGAAGATAGTGCCATCCATGTGGAGCTCAGCTCATGCTGCTAATGATTACTAGGGAAAAAGAGTTGACTAAGTTTGAACATCGAAATCTGAGATTTCAAATACCTCATTACTTTCACTAAAATCCCATACAACAGGAACACACACACAAAAAAAAAAAAAATCCAAATAAATAAAGACAAAAATCCCCAGAAGCCTGAGGCCAGCTAGACTGTGCAATAGACAGCTACAGGGACAACTGGTGTGAGTGTGTAGAAGACCAGAAACTGAATAGGCAGGTCAGAAAGAGCCCCACAAACTCCTGCCTGCCAGGAACACCCTCAGGACTAGAGACTCTGAGGTGTGGCTGGGGTGCCAGATGTCACCGACCTTAGCACAAGGAAAAGCCTGATTTGAAATCACAAGTCAAATGGCCAACAGGAATGTTGAGCTGTGTGCTGTGCATCAAGTATAAATTTGAAATGGTAAAGCACGTAAAAAAATTAACAAATGTTGAGAACTAGCATCAGCGGTAACCTCCTTACCCTGATCAGCTTCCAGAATACCAGCACCTAAATATGCAGACCTTTGTCAGTGGAAGCAAGAGTTGCCTGTTAGAAAACACAGATCTCGGGAGATAGGGAAAGACACCAAAGATCACCAACATATGTATGGTCCCAGAAGGGAGACTACATGGAATTGCACAGTTATACACACAGGCACACAGTATTTCTAACTGTAGAACAAAAGCAAAAGAACCAATATACTACTATAAGACAAAAAGACCTCCGAAACGTTGGCAGTGTCAATCAAACACTAGTTTTAATGTTTTATGAATGACTCATACAGAATGATTTTTTTGACTTCCTATATCAATATATTGCTAAGATCCAGCTACATAGTTATGTTTAGTCATACTCCCTTTCATTACTCGGCAGTATTATAATTTTTAAAAACGTTTAGCCATTCATCAATGACAGATGACAAGGCTCTATCAGGTTTTAATTATTGCAATATTGACATGGACATTCTTACAGTGTGTATACATAGATTTCTGCTTCATACATACCAAACAGCATTTACAGAGTAAATGGATCAGGCATAGTATCTGAATCCTGAACACTATTTCAAGGCCAAAAAGCACCACAGCAAACGAGACAGACCACAGAACACAGGCGCCAAGAAAGGTGATGCCAGGAAAAATCCCGAAACTCCCTGTCCTTGTTTACTGCTGGCTTTTAAAACAAGCCAACTGATGACACAGCAAAATCCACATTATTAAGCTCAAAGTATCCTCAAGTATTTAACATTTCTCTCAGACTATAGTAACATCTAGAATTGTGACACTGGTTTTTAAAACCCAGTTTTGCCTGTGTTTAGAGAAAACACCTCAGTGCCTCAACAGTCCCACCTCAAATCTTCAACACCTCTTGGCTGGGTCCTCCCATCTCTTGTTCCTTTGCTTCCTTTCTCACTAACCATGCTGCACACCTACTGGTACCTTTGGCAGGCAATGACTTAGTTCTACTTGCCACTCAGAATAAGATCAATTGTTTGTTATTCTAGTCAAAATAATTTACATTCTCAGTGGTGGGGGAGAAAAAAAACCTTCAGGAACAAAGTGACAGGCATGAACACTGATGGAATCCCCCTGAATCCTGTGAGACAGGGTTCTCCTGTCCCTGTCTTGCCCTTCCCTCTATCCACGTGCCTTTCTCTTAAACTGCGTTCCACACATTATGAGTTTCCAGAAAGGGAGACTAGAAAAGAAGCAAAAATAACATTTAACACAGCTCATCTTTGGAGATGATTCCTAGCAATGTGGCCACATGGGAAAACTGTGATGGCGCAAACTCTAATGCTGAAATTCAAAGTCACTACTGGGATAACTGACAGCTGCTTCAGCTGCACCATGTAGACAACTAAGGATGCACACAGAAGGAGAAAAGGGTCCCATTACTAAAAGCCAAGTTTGCTTTCCTGAAACTTTAGTGTAGCTATTCCCTATTTTAAAATGAAACACTAAATCTCTTTTCATCAGAAACTACAGAATGGCAAGAATGACACCCAAAAGTAAAAAGTAAATCCACACCTTTGAAACCATGGCGTCTGTTAATACATCTAAAGTTATAATAACAAAATTGTTTTAGAAGTCTGTGCTGCACAAGTTCCAACATTTAAGTTAAAAGCCACCAGGGAAAATGAAATATTTAAAAGGACTTTAGAAACACATGCAGGGGAACTCAGAAGCCAAAAGCTGCCTAAGAAGCCAAGGGAAGACCTCTGTAATTTTTAACAAGAGCATACCATGCATTCGCTGGCTTGAGGGACTTCGAAGGAGCTGTTAGAATTGGTTCCATGCTGTTTGTTCCTGAATTGTTTTCTTTGGTGGTCAATGCAATCATTTTCCGTTGCCTCTGAGAAAGTTTGACTCCATGAGAAATAATTTTTCTAAAAATTAAATTAGAGTAAACCAATTACTTGTCCTGGCTTCACCATTTCTAAGAAATCTCAGTTGCCTAAGAAATCATTATACTTGAAACAAAATTAAACCCCTCAGCTTAATCAAGGTCATCGTAACATATTTTCTATTAAGTTTCAATAGTTAAAGTTTCCGTTTATACTGCTGATGATCAAACAATGGTTATCACAAGACCCCAGAATAGAATATTTTTCAAAAGGCCTCAATCAGACTTGTGCATTTCTTCAGAAATACAATATCACAAGGCTCACTTTGGTGACAACTGTACACTAGCCCCCTAGCATGTAACACTGCACTCTAAGGCAATAGTTAGCACACAGCTAGCAAACAGTACTGAGGCTAAGTTATCTAATGGAGCATTTATAACTATTATATCAGTTGTACAAAAATAATACAAAAGATGCAGTATGTTGTTCCAATTCTGAAGGACAGAAATAAAAATACACACGGTCTTTTCTCTTAATTTCTTTTTTTTTTTTTTTTACCAACCCTAAGTTTAACTTTGGTACTGCGCCATATTTTTGTCTACTTTCTTCTGTTTCCATGATGGTTCTAAAATCCACGACAGGAGGACTTGTAGGACTAAAAGAAAAAACAAAACAAACAGCATTCATTACCTATAAGGCCCAACACCAAACTTAAATGACCCTGTAAATTATATGTAAGACTGGTAATAATTAAATTATAGTCTAAGTAATAATTAAATTCACTTTGTTAGCTTCAGCCAACCTCAAAAACCTCAAAAAAAGGTATTCTGAAGGACAGCTACTCCCATAAATGCATATATGACAACTAAATAATTTAAAGTCTTCAAGTTGAGCAATAACCTGAAATTATTCTAACAAAACAAAATCCAAACAACCAAAGGAGTCCTAGGTCACCTAAATAAGCAAAAGAACTCACTACAGTTCCAATTAAAATCTTATCCTTAGAGATGAAAGATGAAAATCATTTCATTTTCAAAAACAAATGAAATCCTTACTACCATCTATTCTATTATTAACAAAAAAAGACACTTTTCAGAAAATATGGGGGTGCTCCACAAATACTGAAGACACCCTGGGGGGGGCAGCTGCAATATAAGGGGAAAATAGAGGTCCCTGGGGGTATAGGAGCTGCACTATAAGAAAAAAAAATTCTACAATTTCTAGAAATAGTTTCTGATACAGGAGAAATCTATGATATAGTTAAGAATAATTCACATTATTACATATTAAAGACTGATACATCATTTATTTATTTTCACTAAGAAATTCTGTTGCTAGATGTTTTAAGACATAGCAGGAAAGATGTACCCATGAAGCTTAACAATAAGGTTGTCTAATCAAGGCCCACATAATGACACTACCAGGACACATGGCAACATGGAGAGAGGAACTTGCAGAAGGTCCCTCCCACAGATGAAGCCACAGGCAATTCTATTCTAAAATCATTTCAGCAGCCATCCTCTAGAGACAAGCTGCCTGATAGGTTATCCCATCCCATTGGTCAACTCTAATCACATGTACACATGGGGAACACTAAATGAACTCAGTAGTCTGTGTGTGTGTATACACATACATATATAAATAATTATATAACAAGAGATCATGAGTTTGAAGGTGAGAGGCAGGAGGAGTTATTGGGAAGCAGTGGGAATGATGTTAATCCAATACTGGCATATGAAGTTCTCAAAAGAGTAACAATATAAATTAAAAACTAATTATAAAATATCAGTATCCGCTCATTATTCTCGCTAGGCAATACTTCATAGTAATATAAAGTGCTGGTGCATACACTAATATTGAGAATACTATGATTGCTAAGGACTTTGTGAATGTACATGGTGCTGAAGCAGAATACCAGTCTCACTACTGACTTTTTACTGGCTATCATTTAAATGTTTAGCAAAACAACTGAATATGGTTCTAGGTGCTCACACAAATTATGTATCATTTATGACATTACAATGAATTATGCCCAGTGGAGGGAAGGGCCTATTATAGCTGGTTAGCAATTTTTATTCATGCAGATGATTTTCCATGTATAAATTAGTATTTTTTACTGAATATATTCATTTGGTTAAAAATACACAGTAATCTTTCAGAGATGAAGAGAATAGGATGAAAATTCTATCTGTAAGTGGCAACACCAGACTGAGACTCAGGTAGGTAATTTTCATTCTTTCCTGTCCTCCATTACGACTGAGTGGATTTAAGACCTACTCCATGAGATGGAACACATGCCTGAAATTGCTTGGGTGACCTAAGAGAAAACCAAATACCACTGTCCTGCTAAATGAATTGAACAATAAAATGACTCCAATAGGCATTCTGCTATACTCATAGATCAGTGTCTCGCTCAGTCAACATCAGAGAAGCTTCCTCCTGCAGCAGATAGGAACAAATACAGAGACCCACAAGTGGACCATGTACAGAGAAGAGAGATGTTGGAACACCTAGTCTTAAATGGCATATCTTAATCAAACCTCCTCCCCTCTCCCGCTGGGCTATGGAAATGATGTGGAGAGGAGGCAGAGACATTTTAAGAGCCAGAAGAGATGGAGGACACCAAGAAAACAGCATCTTCTAGACACAACAAACTGACATACAAATGAACTTATGAAGACTATGGCAGCATGCACAGGGCCTGCACAGGTCTAAGCCAGAGAGGGTCCCTGTACTGAGAGGGAACATGGACATGATCTCCCATCTTTAAGCCAGAAAGTATCTCCAACTGACAACGGCTACTTGGCTTTATCCAGTGAAGTCTTACCAGGGAAACAACTCTTATGGGTAGAACTCATGCCCAGCAGCACATGGCCAACACAAGATGAACTCAATAGTAGTTTTGTAGATGTTTTGTCTCATGTTGCTTCGTTTGGGCATTTTTAAAAATCTCTCTAGTCTTTTGTCTATAACATCATGATTTCTGATTTTTTGTTTTTATGGGTTTTGGTTTTTCTGTGTGTTTATCTGTTATGTGTATTTCCTATAGTTTTTCTTTTTGTTTTAATTCTGTTGATTTGTTCTTTTCTAAAGAAAGAAGACAGACATGGAGTTAGATGGGTGGGAATGTAGGAGAGGATGTGAGAGGAGATAAGGGAAGGGAAAGCATGACCAGAATATATTATATGAAAAAAAAAAATTCAGTTAAAATAAATAAGAAAAAAGAAACTCCTACCTGAAAGAGCCAGTAACCCAACTGGAAGAGCCTGCAGTGTCGACTCTGTCCCTGGGAATGAACTGGGGAGCAGATTTAGATGTTGGTGATTTTTCCCATGGTTTGAAATCTTCCCTGGCACATGGAGGAGGTGTACCGTTCACATACGGTTTGGCTTTCCCCTGGGAGAAAAAGAGAACCTAAGTAGTAACAGCAAGCGTCTAACTTAGTAGCTTAGTGTGAACAGTCAGCGACACATGATCAGCTAGCACTTGCCATTTGTCTCCAGGCCCACCTCTTCGCCAGCTCACCCTCATCACTTACTACAAGCTGTTGTACACAGGAAACTAAATGCACACCTTAAACTTCTACTCAGACAAATAGCAAACAAAATAAAAATAAAAGCAGGACATATAAGATATGAAACACTAATATTAAAATTCCTATTTTAGAAATAAAATTCACTTTAGACAGGACAATTTGGTATAACTATCTTATAATCTACTCTATGATGCAGTACTTTAAATAAAAATGAAAGTACAATAATATTGACACTTCAGAGGGCCTTAAAGTCACTGCTACTATAAAAGGCTCAGGAAGGTCTTAAATGGCATGTACATAAGACAGTCGATATGTGCCTTCAACTTCCTTACACTTCACTGTCCTCCAGATTAACCTTATGGAAACAACTATTTCCTTCAAAATTCTGCATTAAACTTGACTACTTCATAAGAAAAATAAATCAGTAAGTCTCAGAAATTCCTAGGTGTTCCAATATGTTCTGCTAATGTGGAAAAGGTTACAGGAAAATGAATCAATTTCTAAAAATGTAAAGAAACACTAGGGAGCAGAGAAAGGATGTTAAAGAAAGCCTCCTCAGAGCTAAGGAGGGGCTGGCTCCACAGCGGGAAAGTCATGCAGCCTTCCAGCCCGGCAGAACAGCTCTGGATGGTTGTGTCCCTTAACTCCATAAAGAAAGCTTACTTTGAATTAATTTGAAACCAGGTTTACTTTCAAAATTACTTTTTTTGGATAAATTTTATTTCATTTTAAAAGACATTTCCTAAAATATTTCTGGAATTTAGCTACAAATATACTTTTCAATATGTCTATTCAATAATACTACATTATAGCATCATGTATTTTACTTGCAAAAAGATTAGAAATGAAATCATAAAGGATTCAAAACAATATTAAAATTTCTACAAATAAAATAATTACATAACTGAGGAAAAAATATACATTATACATATTGGTTTTAGGGTTTTTTGTTAACACCAGGAAAGTATTTGAAAGTATGAGAGAATACAATGAAAACTAAGGTGAAATGTAGGCACATCCAAACGTGGTGAGGAAACAATGCTTTCTTTACCAGACCAACCTCGACCTTGTCCAAATGGAATCCTGCTGTAAAATCAGGCGACTGTAAGTCTCTGGGACTACCCACTCCTGCATAGCTTCCTTCAGAGTCTGAGGTCAACAGTTCTGGAAGAGACTCCACAGAATTGGTCTTACCAGACTTTAATAATCCTAAAATGTGAAATAAAGTACATAAACTTTAACTGGACATATTAAGCATATATGCATTTCACTCAATGAGCCAAATGGAAAGCAAGAAGCTTATTGATCCAGACTACAATAACAGTTAAATTGTACTCACCACACCAACAGTACTCTAGTTAGACGAAGATGACAAAAACATTGGTTAAGTGAAAGAGCAACGTGGGAGAGACAGTAACACAACTGTTAATTCATCCTGTCTCTATAACTAATCAATCAATTTCAACAACACAAAGTTTCATAGGATCTGCTTTGAAGAGATGGTTAACCTCATTCCTCAAGAAAGGTAAGAAGGGAGAAGAGATGGCTGACTGCACAGCAACCGATCCCTGCCTGTTCCTTTTCAGCTATCATGTCACTGTGCTCTGCAGGGAGGGAATGGCTCCAATGTAAGAGAGGAAGTACCCTAAAGGTCTGTGTGCCAGCAGGCAGCCCAGGAACACAGGCTCCCACTGGCCCCTCTGGCAGCCTGTTGGAGGGTTCGTCAGTTTGTTTTCTGTAAAAATATCTGTCATTTGAAATGTTTAATTAGCGTAACCCCTGAGATGACATAAATGCCCACCTCTGTACCCTATGTTCTGGTTCACCACAAACATAATACATTTCAGGTGATAATTCACACATTTCAAATTAATTAGAATCTATATGAAGTGTCAAAAGAAACTTGGAAATGCAGACATTATCTGAGTTGTAAAAGCTATACAACTGATTGAAAATAAAGTGTGCTACCTCTTATACATTCAGAAGTGTTGTCCCTTTAAGGAGATCACCAGACACACAGTAGTAGTCTTTTTCTGTTGTCCATTACTAAAAACACGTTGGCAGTGACATTCAAACTTTCCCCTACTAACACAGAAATTTATAGTTTTCATTTCAGATATTACACTTAAAATTGTATGCTTTCAAAACTCCTTAAAGCTGGGCAGTGATGGCACATGCCTTTTATCTCAGCACTCAGGAGGCGGATCTCTGTGAGTTTGACACCAGCCTGATCTACAAGAGCTAGTTCTAGGATAGCCTCCAAAGCCACAGAGAAACCCTGTCTCGAAAAATCAAAAAACCTTAAAATCATGAGAATCAAATAAATGATTGTCTTAAGCAAGCAATTGTTTTTGATCAAAACAGAACACCTTCACAGAATCACTTGTCTAGCTTGAAGACATGTTAGGTCTCCACGTAACTGTTTCTGACGAATGTGCCTTGTACTCAAATCTTCCTTTTGGTCCCCAATAAAGTTTCACCCTTCATCATTATCTGCTTGGGCCACAGAAATGATGCAACATCAGAATGATATGGAACTTGACTCATAGAGCAAATACTATTTATTCCTTTTGTCATTATCTCAGATCATCATATTTCCAGATTCATTTCCTGAAGGTTAAATGACAAATTTAAAGTAAGAGGTATAAAGTATTTCTTGTTTTGGGTTTTTTTTAGTTGTTGTTGGTGGTGGTGGTAGCTTGTTTGTTTGTTTGTTTGTTTGTTTGTTTGTTTGTTTGAGACAGGGTTTCTCTGTGTTGTTTTGGAGCCTGTCCTGGAACTCGTTCAGTAGACCAGGCTGTCCTCGAACTCACAGAGATCCTCCTGCCTCTGCCTCCTGAGTGCTGGGATTAAAGGTGTGTGCCACCAATGCAAAGTATTTCCTTAGTAATCAGCTTTGAAATGTCAAGACTGTGTGTGTGTGTGTGTGTGTGTGTGTGTGTATCCACATGTGTGATCATGACTGAACACGTACAACAGAAAAGATCAGAGTTATGATAATATTGTGGATTATCATCTTGCATCTTATTTGAAGCAAATTTCTTTGCTGTTTTACTGCTATCTATACCAGGCAGAGCTCACTGGCCTGTGTGCCTTAATGGATTTCTGTCTGTCTCCCATCTCCCAGAAGTGCACTGAATTACGTATGTTCCCGCTCCATATTGAGCTTTTCGTGGGTTCTGAGGATTATAACTCACTTGCACAGCTAATGCTTTTACCCACTGAACAACTCCCTAGTCCAAGAGACTTATGTGTACACATACACTCTCTCACACACGTGCAATCAAATCATACTATTTAAAGAAAAATCAGGTATCTACTCTTCCTTAAGTCATTAGGTAACTGAAAGATCCCCAGTTTCATTAACTGTCTGACCATTTACTCATCCTTTTATCAACCTACCTATGCTTTGTCTTTAGGCTAGAGGTAAAGTATTCAACAGAGAATACAAAAATCACAGAATTTTATGCTTTGAAAAAACAGTAAGATGTGTCTTTCTCATTTCTAGATCTCCTGACTCTTACCTTTAATGCTTCACAACTCAATCTAGGCAAATAATCTCTCCTTTAAGTATCTTTTGTATTACTTAAACCTATTATTCTTGACATTTCCTACAGTTGTAACAATATATCAAATACCTCATTTGTAAAATTAAAAAACAAAATTCTCTTTGCCTTGCATAACAGCCACCTTTTTCCAAGGAACATAAGTCAATACACAGGGTTGTCTGCCTGTGAATGCTGTAACAGAAAATACACCAGATCATGTCTGACTGCCTGCCACTTCAAAAGCCACACTGTGGTCTTGCTACTTTTTGGTCACACTTCACAATTATACCTAAAGAAACCATTAACACTTTGCATAGCTTAAATATAGATAAGATAAATCCAGAATATAGGACAATATATGAAACAACTAGCCTAATGTTTGAGAAATCAACAAAAAACAAATAGCATGGAGGATACTGTTCTAGCTAAGAGAATAATAAGCAAAGGCAGTGTTAACCTTGATAGAACAAGAGTCAATGACTTTAATCCAAGCACTCAGGAGGCAGAGGCAGTCAGATCTCTGTAAGTTGGGAGGCCAGAGGATCTGGAGTGAGTTCCAGGACAGCCAAGGCTACACAGAAAAACCCTGTCTCGAAAAAACAAAAAGGAAGGAATGAAGGGAGGGAGGGGAAGGGAGGGTGGGAAGGAGGGAGGGACAACAGCTGAAAAAAAGTTCTAAAAACACTGTTGAGTAATCGTGGAAATCTAGATACAGAAGCTAAAACTAGGTAAAGCTAACAAACTGTGTTAACGATCTGATACTGGTATTGGGATTTTGGAGGAAAACATTCTTAAGAGAATCTTACAATATTTTTGAGAAAGAACATACCTACAAAGTATTTCAAGCAGATCAGTTAAAAACAGCTTGGTCAATGCTGTGTGTGGAATGTTTAGAGGACTATGTTGAGCGACAAGAAGCTGTGCATCTCAGAAGACGCAACCTGTACAGAGTTGCAATATGGGGACACCACCTGGCAAGTATGTGGCCCAGGGTCAGACCTCAGCACCACAGAAAGGAAAGGGAGGGACAGAAGGAAGAGAATATGGCAATAAATTAACAGTGAGTCTAAACAGAGTGTAAAGGTGTTCATACCTTTGTGTGTGCACATGTGTGCATGCATGCATCCTTTATATCTTCAGTTACTAAAAATTTTCAAAATAGGGCTCTTGCCACCAAGCATGATGACCTGAATATGATCCCTAGAACCCACTTTTAGTGAAGGACTGAAATCACTCCTGAAAGTTGTTCTCTGTCTTCCACACAGACCAGAAATAAGCTCAAACACACTAACCTGCAGATGGTGGACTCTGAATAATATCTGAAAGGTTGTAGCCTCCAGAACTGTCGGAGCGCTTCCGTGGCTTCTTTTTAGCTCTTGTTTTTGCCTTCTTGAACATGGTTTCCCTGGGAAAATGCAAACAAAGAATTGAAGGGCAAAGAGTTTGGTCAAGCACAAACCACATAAGCATATGTAGGCATCATTTATAGCCAAGGTAGGCCAGGGAAATCATAACCTTACAAGTCATCAGTGTCATCTATTCCTTGCTCTGGCCCCAGAGCAGTTAAAGTTAAAGAACCCAATGTCGGCCACAGTAGCCACCAAGAGCAGCACTGAGAGTTCTGCACAACCATATCACCAGGAGTCATTACTAGGGCTACCAAGTGATGGAGAACACCAGCAGGTTGGGATCCACCCATTTCCACAGGCACTTCCCAAGAACACCAAGTTCACCAACATGATCTGAGATGTGGGATTAAAGACATGTACCGCCACCACCTGGCTGTGTTCACATTTAAGGACAATATGTCTAACTTCCATAGTCCAAAATGATATCACACATCAGAAAAAAAGTTCAGAAAGTAATTAAAAGAACACTTCTGGAGCTCAAGAATAGGTTTGTTTTTTTTTTTTTTTTGCAAGGTGCATAGCTCCTTGTCTACAGCAGATGACCTCAACACCCAAAGGCTTCACCCTAACAACTTATTTGTTCCACAGACATAAGTAATTCTATGATGTGAGCCTAAAATACTAACAAGGCACTAGCCTAAAATACTAATTAGGTATTTATTCTATGCAGAGGTTGTCAAAATTGTTAGACAACACATTTTTGTGACAGACTCTGGACTCCTAAATCTCAGCCTTTGTGGATCACTGTTGGGGTCTGAATATGAAATGTCCTCCCACAATGGGGTCCCAGGTGGAGTAAGGCTCAAAATTAGGGGCACAGGAAAAGACTTGGACAATAAGGAGTTCAATTTCATCAATGGAAATAACAAATTTATGAGTTTACAATTTAACGTGCTACTCAAAAGTAAGGTCCTAACTGGAGAAACGAGATCACTGGAGCATTCCTTGGAAGAGTATTGTGCCCTGGTCCCTTGTTCTCTCTCTCTCTCTCTCCTTGGCCTTATGAGGTGAGCCACCCTGCTCTACAAGGCAGTCACTGCTGTGATATTCCACCTCCAGCCTTAATAGCAGGAGCCAGTTGGACATGGACAGATGCTCAGAAGCTGGAGCTTACAGCCAACCTTTTCACCTTTAACTGGTTTTTCTCGGGAATTTTTCCCACAAAGCCTAAAAGCTAGTATAGTCACCATCTACCAAAGCAGTCAGGGTCTAGAAAGAGGACTCCTGAGAAAACGTGATCCCATCTATGGCTGCTGCATTCCTCTCCAGATGCTCTCAGGTCCAGTCTCCCGAGTACAAACCTATACTCTTCTACCAAGATGGAGGAGAGACAAGCACTTGGCTGAACAGGGCTTAGAAAGGAATGGGGTCCACTTGTCCTAATCTTCATGAGCGGGCTGCCATAATTGCCAAACATTTACAGAACCATTTCAAGTTTTGTGCCATCATTACTACAGAGTCCCTACTTTCCAGGCAACAGCAGCTTCATCTGACCCCCGAAGGTAACTTGGCTGTTCTCCCACTCTCATGCAACAGCACGCCTTTTTAAATGTCTTTACCGTATCTTCAGGGGGTCTGAGGAGGTCACTAGGACAAACACACTTAACTAACCTGTATATCTATCTGAAGGCTACATCATTTTTATACTTAAATGTTACACAGCTTAAATTTAAAATATCAATCATGTATAATTACTTTGTATTATATCAAAACTAAAACTGCACATTCATACTGCCTCTATCAGAACTTCTTAATTCATATTTCCAATATTAATATAAAGTGTCAGGCATCTAATGGATTAAGGAAGAAGAAAAAGAAGGAAAGAAAAAGAGAGCAGGGCTTACGAGTAATTTGGTTCCATATTTATTTCTTCTTTGAAAAAGACATCCCCATCATCTACTTGCATGTAGCTAATATCTGGTCCATCTTGATATGGTGTAATGACTCTTCGCTCCATTGCTGGAATCTACAAAATGAAATATAAAATTTGTAAAATTTTTAAAAATTCATGAAATATATCACTTACAATGTCAGGTGGTAACATTAACTAGGAGAAGTCTACAATGAAGGAAAAATTTTGAACAGATTCAATAAAATGAATGTTACATAAGACTGTTGGGGTGGGGCTGAAAGCAGTTCCACTTTCTTTTTAAGTGCAGATTAATCATCCCTCAGGAGTCATGTGAAGCCATGCTCTGTAGTGTCCTGTAGTATCCTGACCTTTGTAACTAAAACTCTGAAACAGCAATTTCTATTATAAAGACATTATAAGAGATCTGTTAATTTTATTATGCCTTCAATTTGATTTTCACACTTATCTGTGGGACTTGAAAGAAATTCTAATTGCTAGAAGATAATGTATTTGCACTCATTATAAAATTATTCCATTGTCAAGTCTGATCTAATACTCTGTTTTAAAAGGTAATTCCATAGCTTTCAAAATCTGTAACAAGAAAAGAAAAATATTACCATTTTTCGGTAAAATATGGAAAGGTCCTTCAAAACATCCTCACTTAAAACATCAAGGGACCTGAAAAACAGGAAGTAAAATTCTAGCTTAAGACTCAAATGATGTAGCAGCTGTGAAGATTTTCAATCGGGTGGTGGTGGTGCACACCTCTGATCCCAGCACTTGTGGGAGGCAGAGGCAAGTGGATCTCTGTTAAGTTTGAGGCCAGCCTGGTCTATAGAGTGAGTTCCAAGACAGCCAGGGCTGTTTCACAGAGAAACCCTGTCTCAAAAAACCAAAGGAAAAAAAAAAGATTTTCAAGTATATTTATTTCAAATTGTCAAATAAGTAGCAAAGTTCTTTTTCAAATTTATATACACTAACTACAAAAATTTCTTTTGGAAATAGGTCTAGTTATATGTTATGGATTTCAGGTAATCAGCAAACATATTATACAAATATCTTGATAGAACTGAAGGAAGTCTTTGGAATGGGAATAAATATCTTTTCTACTATAACAAGATACGAAGTACTTACTTCTTAATTAGGCATGTGTTTGCTCAAAGTAAACATGTAGAGAAATACTAAGAAAAAGAGGTCTGTATCAAAATATACTTAGCAATACAAGCTAATATAAATAATTATCATACAAGTGTTGAAAATTGCCATGGTATAAGTTTAAATATGAAAGTTGCTTCGTGATAGTTGTAGAAATAACTTTAAAAAACAATAAATGTATATGAATGTATATACATACATCTCGTATATATAAAACAACACCTCAGATAGACACACACACACACACACACACACACACACACACACACACATAAGACAAGCTGTGTAAGGAGCAGTGCAGAGATAGAACACTGCCTTAAGCTTCAGAGTATCCAGGTTCTTGTTAGCATTATCACTAGTCTCATTTATCTCCATGACCAACAGGAGCTCACTGTGCTTCTGAGTCTTCCATTATAAATGAAAGTTTGGATTACATCAACTATATTCAAAACAAATTCAAGTCCCACAGGTTCCAACGGGTACTTTAAGCATCAATAAAAATGAAAAACACGGTTTACATCCGTGTGTGTGTGTGTGTGTGTGTGTGTGTGTGTGTGTGTGTGTGTGTGTGTGTGCTCAAATGGCAATAGAATTTTCTTTAAACCAGTCCTAGGTGGTGATTATTAAGACCATTTGTGATTTATCTCAAGAAAACAGCAGAGCAGTTATTTCAATGTTTTAGAACAAGTTTAATTAAAAATCTTATTGAATTTGCAAAGTGGGTAGTTAAGTTGTTATCATTTGTTTTGCTTTGTTTATTAAGTTTATTCTTGTTTTGATACACAGTTACATGATATAGCCTTATCTGGCCTAGAGCTTGCAATGAAAACAAGGTTGGCCTTGAACTCAGAAATCCACTTGCCTCAGTCTCCAGATTACTAAGATTAATGGCATGCACCTCCATGTCATTTGTTATCATTTGTAATCATCAAGATTTTCTCAGTTCTTGCCTCACAAATTAAAAAGGACAAAAGTTCCCCAAGCCTTCTTCTCATTTGCAATATAAGGATATTAAGAAAAACTTTTTGGGGGGATCGAGAGATGGCTCAGAGGTTAAGAGCATTGACTGCTCTTCCAGAGGTCCTGAATTCAGTTCCCAGCAACCACATGGTGGCTCACAACCATCCGTTATGAGATCTGGTGCCCTCTTCTGGTGTGCAGATATACACAGAAGCAGAATGTTGTATACATAATAATAAATAAATAAAATCTTTAAAAAAAAAGAAAAACTTTTTCACAAGTATGTGAAAATTAGTCTATGTAACACTTTTAGAAAAATGTCCAGGATATAGAAAACACTAAATACTAATCATTGTAAGTACTCAAACAAAATATAAAACTACATATATAATAAGTAGTAATAGCTACTATTACTATTACTGAAACAAATCACAGAACAAAGGAGAAGACAAATTAATCTTAAATATCTTAAAAGAAAACTGACACCCAAAGACTCCAATTCCAAATATCTTTGCTCACAAATGTAGCCTCATTTTTCTTACCACCAACTTAACAGTGAGAAGTACTATTTTTATCTTCATTAGGTATAAAATCTTTCACTAAAAATAAAAAACAAGAAACTCATGTGTAAACAGGTCTGGTTCACATACAGAACCCTATTGATTTGGAGCATAAAGCTGCCCTGAGCCACATAGCCAGAACCTATGTCAACAAAAAATAAATTTAAATCACTGTTAGAAATACTGGAAGTTTCCATGGTCCCTCTAATTCTGAAAGTGATGACTCCTTACTCAGCATTTGTCAAATTCTTTCCATCTTGGTAAATACATTATTCACTTTCAAAATCAAGTGCATCTTTTATTTACATATAAACATCTGCTTGTTCAAGTATTATACACAGCATAGAAACCCAACCAACCTTGCTTCAAGTAAGGCCGCCATATTCAGTCCTATGAACTGTAAACAAGACAGTTTCAACTGTTGAGCATTGTACATTGCTGCGAACTCCAGCAGCATAGCAGCATTCTTAAGGGTAACTACAGAGAAAAGAGATTTGCAAAATTAGATGAAAAGTGACTTACTTCAACAAGTGAAATACTTGCATTTCTAAAGTTACAAAATTTCAACATTTAAAACAAGAAAACTGTTCCCTAGACAAAGGAATGAATACTGAGGTGAATAGAGAAATGAGTTTCATTACAGTATGCTAAAGTAATTTTAACTGAATGGTTTCAAAGAGAAAAAATAAGCTTGCACACACAAAACTTTTAGAGATAACAAAATACTGTAGGGGGATTATTGTTATCTGAAAGCAAATTAAAAACTACCATTCTTCCTCCCAAAACCCTTGAATATTTTTCACTAAAACAACAGTTGGGCATGACAGTGTACACTCTGTAATCCCAGCACTCAAGAGGCTGTGCAGGACTTCAGTGCATGCACCAGACTGGACTACATAATAAGATCTTGTCTCCGAACCAACAACTACAAGCAAACAGGCATTTAGTTGAGGAGAAGCTGAATGATGACTAATCTGTATTTATGAAAATGCAACTAAGTATGATCCATGCCAGTGCATAAGACTACAAAAGAACTCAGGACTACTAACGTCTAGTAATGTTCCATGTGAAATGTCGTTTTGCTAGAAACCCTCCAAGAATACTCTGTCTGATGGTAATTACAGCTACCTAAAACTCTCACCTTCTTGCTCATACTGAGTTCCAGTCAACAGAAGAATACAGCTGCTTTCTACAGTATGTCTTCTCCTATTTCTTTTTTCTTTCTCCCCTAAACTGTCAAAGTTGCTATCAGTCAATAACAGTCTCTGCCTCCCTCTGACTAAGCTAAAACTGCAAGTGATGATGAAATCATCTCACAAAACAAAAGCAGATCACACAAAAGCTTTCCTTGAACTGTTTAGTTGGAAATGATGTGCACAATGACTAAACAGGCTTCCTTGGAACCCTTTGGCACGGAATCTGTCCACCAGTAAACACAACTGTGCAGCAAAGACTAGGAAAGACTAACCCACGACATCAGCACAGACCACTGAGCCAATGGAAATATCTAGATATATATTGTCCATCTTGCCACAGTAAGTCCTTTACCACAGCATCTTTTCTTGATTATGGGAAAAAAACAAATCAGGGCTATTTTCCTATTGCTAATCATGGAGAAGACAGAACACTCAAAAAGACAAGAGACTGACAAGCTCTATCAAAAATCAAAACAATTTAAAAGAACATCTTCCATATTTTCCAAAGAAGTATGAACTGAAACATACAAAACTAGCCAAAAAGCTTGTATTTCAGGTTATGAAAACTGCAACTTTCATATCAGGATAAATAAAATTATCTAAATGAAGAAAGGAGAAAGGGCAGTTAAAGACCACTGTGGAATGCACTGAAAGGATCAGTAACACTGAGCTCAACACAGGGAGAACCAAACAGTGGAAAATGGAAAACACATGGCCTGCACAGCTAAGTCATTTATACAACTTAAAGAAGTGGGGCACAACACAAATAAAAATTAATATTTAATATCTAAGATGAAAAAAAAGTCCATGGATTTTGTTGAGATAAACTAAGGGAAGAATTATGTAAAATTTCCAGCAAATAGAAAATGGGTTGGAAAACAAAAAGGAAGGAAGAAAGAAAGAAATAGAAGGAGGGAGGGAGGGAGGGATGGAAGGAGGGAGGGAGGAATGAACGAATGAACGAATGAATGAATGAACCAGGGAAACAGTCTATTGAAATCCCCCAAATGGACTGGATATCACTGTCATTATTTATGGTTTCCCAGCATGTTAATAAAAATACTTTAAGTCTAAGGTATGTATGTTTCCAATTATTTCTAAGGAAAAAATGTGTTTACAAATGATGGCATGTAACAATCTAAATGTCTTGCCCTTTGCTTGTTCTTTGTTTGCTTTTGAGGCAGAGTCTCACTATGTAGCTCTAGAACTGTTTATGGAGACCAGGACCTCTGGCCTGGAACATCTCTATATAGACCACACTGGCTTCACACTCACAGAGACACACCTGCCTCTGCCTCCCAGGTGCTGGAATTGAAGGCGTGTGCCCCCATGCCCAACCATCTCAACTTTTTAAAAAGCACACACACCTAACAACAGTGTTTCACCATAATGGAAAAATAAAGCTATTAAGTACAATCTGAAAACATGACAATACCCTAATTCTAATACTCACGTTTTTCAGTCAATGCTCCTTCACAAACTTCCTTTAATCTAGTTATGAGAAGCTGATCGGCCACTACAAGAACACTACAAATAAAATCCACATTTTGAGACTCTAACAAGAAAAAGGGAAAGAAAAAAAGTACTCTATTACTCCGTAACCATTTTAATTAGTAAAAACAAAAAGTTACAACATCAAGGTAAAGAGGCTTATGATTCTTTTCTATATGTCAGACAGACAATACAATAAATTGTGAACACATCAAACTATCTGTATCTCTTAGGTAGACAACTAGAAAAAAAAATCCACTAAAAGCCTTGGTATCTAACAGTTCTCTTCCTATTACTATGAAAAAAAACAAAAACAAAACAAAACAAAGAAAACTAAAGCAATGGTTTACTCTGGCTTGATTCGAGGCCCAGCCTATCACAGTAGGGAAGTCAGGGAAGCAGGACCTTAAAAGTTGCTGGAGACAACGCAACCAGTGAGAAGAAAGCAAAGGATGCATGTGCTGCTCAGGCCTCCTTTCCTATTCAGACAATCCAGGACCCTGTCCAGGGAATGGTGTCCCCCACAGTGGACGGTTCTTCTACCTTAATTAATAAATGTTCTTCCTATCTCCATTACCATAATTAGGATAATCCCAGCAGGCAGACATATGTGTCCAGAGACCCATCTCCCTCCTGGTTAATTCTATTTCTGTTTATTTGACAATTAACATTAACCACTAACCACACGTAGCTCATACATTCTCACAATGGGACCATAAAATGATCAGCCTGAAGTGATTATTTCAATACAAAAGGCTACTAGAATGTCTGACTTATACACAGTAAAAAGTACCACTTTTTCTACACACACACACACACACACACACACACACACACACACACACACGTACTTTAAAAAAGAAATAAAGAAAACACTTCCACTTAAAATAGTGGAAGAAAGAATTCTGGGAATAATTATTTTAACAAAGGAAGTAATTGCAAAGTCTATACACAAAAAACAACAGAGTAAAACTATGGACTCACACCTCATACCCTATACTCAGGGTACTGTTAAAATGGCAGCTTTCTCACATTAATCTACAGGTGAAAATACGTTACAATTTGAAAATGATAACAAGGGCACAATTTTAAATTTTAACAAATAACAGATATGTACTTTAGAAATGTGTAATTTACTGGATGTAAACATGTTTTTAAAATACATACATTTCTTTTTAAAATATATTAGTCATTTCAAATACACATTTGAAAGTCTCAGCTACCCATCAGGTACAGAAATCTTCAGAATCTAGCTCTTAGGTGAACACACTTCAAAGAGAGTTTGTCAAAAATTACACTCCTTGTATTCATCGATCTTAACAGAGTAGCTAGAGAGATAAAACTTCTAACACTAATTTCAAGCATGACACACGATTCTAAAAAGAATGATTTGGGGCAATGAAAATGTAAATTTTCTACTTGATTACCATTTGTTACTCATCTTAAATTAAGCTTCTAAAGACAGGACAAGAGGAAACTGATCCATGTAGATTTTATCATTTTCCTCTTATAGCCAAACTGGCTAAATTTCCTCCTCTTAGTACCTTTTATCACCAAAGCTTCATCAGTATAGAGGTAGTCCAAAACAACTTTCAGAATCTCAGACTCTATTGGCATCTCCAGAGCTGCACAACTGGAGGCCTATGAGACATAAGACAAAATAAACTCATTAATTTGAAACCACAAAATACTATCATATGCTAAGCTGAGTTATTACTATGAAAACTTTAGAGAGGACATCATATCAAAGATCCTTGGAAGAATCTATAAAATATAAATCTAAAATGAGACACTTAATTTTAAAACATAACCCAAAAAAGGGGAATATAGAAAATTCAAAATACAAAACATACAAGGACAGTTCTAATGTGTGTCTCAATAATGTGGTGACAGTGTGGTTTTTAGCAGCTTTATGGTAATAATTTTAACTTCCAAATGTTAGTATTTTCTAACAAACCTAAACACACATAATGTAACACAAACAAAATGAAGAACTAACCCAAAATACCAAGTTCCAATTCTGAATGTCTTACTGTATAGCTCCCTAGCCCCCAGTATATGCAGGAATGCCTACATACTCTCCATTTACACCTCACCTCAATCCATGAGCTGCTCAGCATGCTGTGGAAATACTCTGGAAGAAAAACAGTGCAGTGAGAACAGGGAAGCAGAACCCAACAAAGGACTCAGCAGCTAATAAGATGCCACCTACCGAGTCTTGCACAGAGCACACATTTATGGCAGGGGAACTCTTTTCCATCCACGGACTTCATGGTAACATCATACAGAAATGAACTGGAAAAAAAAAAGTTTAATCAAACAAAGATCAATTTGTTGCATATTTACAGAGGGGTGAAAAAGCCTAAGGATTTGGCTTAACTTTAATATTAGTCAAACACTGGCAAGAGCAAAAACACTCATGGATATGCATGCAACTCGTCTCTCACTAGCTCAGCAAAGACAATAGTAGCCAAATCATTTTAAATGTTTTAAAGAGTACTGAATATTAAAACTTAAAAACCTTCCACTTGATTTTCCTTTTTATTGCAGGCAAGGTATTAGTGACAGTCAGTGGCACACTCAAAGCCCTTTAATTCTCTTATTTGAACAACTTACTGCAAGCCAGGTAATCAAGAAGTTTTCAGTTTCTCTTTCTTCAGGACTTTAGCACCCATAAAGTATCTAACACAAAACTTTTAGCAATATATATAATATATTTATTCTAGAAAAAAGCATACTAAGCAAAACAATCATAATGAAAATAAACTGATTGTGGGGTATCTGCATAAAATCCTATTTGTAAGACTCACAACTGAAGAAAAAGCAACAGTTAAAATCCTTCTCTTCTTCTGAATACAGCAGACTTGAGCAGTTAGTGCTTTGTCTGACTCAGCCTCCCAGAAGCAGCAGAGGTAAGAGGTAAATGGTGTCTCCCTTCTCATGACAGCTGCAAGCAGCTCTACTTCTGTCTTATAAACCAAAAATCTAAATATGCAAAGCTGATCCTCATTTACTAACTTACCATTTTTTCTGACTTAGCTTCAGTTTATTACCAGTTTTCTTCGCAATAACATTAATTTTTTCATTTTCAAATCTGACTCCATCTAACCTATCAAGGAAAAATATAAATTGACAACAGGTGGATATAGTCTTCTACTACAACCAACACACAACAAAATTCAGTCAGGCTTACAGGTAAACACAGCTATGTCATTGTCCCAGAATGTATCAACAAACCTAATTTCAAGCTATAATAAATCAGTCTTAATTAGAATTTAAAATGTTTAATATCATTACTGACAAGTCACATATCAAAGCTGTAACAGTATTTCCATGTTTTCTAATAGGAATCACAGTGCACAATCTTCCCTGCCCCAAATCCATAACAACGTTTATTCCAGCACAAGCAGCTTCATATGAAAGCCTTGTGAGAGAAAGAGCATATTACTGCTGGTTCATAATGTGGCAGGTACCATGAGACACCTCAGTAACTCAGTGGCAAGTCTTTATCAACAACACAAGGACTTTACAAACTGAGAAACTGAGATCCATAGAAGCCTGCCCTGGGCCTGGATAAGCAGAGAGATGAAGCATACACATAGATCTTTCTGAAACCTAAGATTTTCCAAAACACAATAGGACTTAGCACTCTCCCTGTTAGACACTCATGGCATAGCACCTGAAACCCACCAGCAACCTTTCTGTTCTTTAGTTTAACAAGGAAGTTCCTAAGTGGTAACTGTACCAGAAAACAGCACTGAGAGAAAGGTACATATCCACATCCCTCTCCCCCAAGACAGAAGTAAGGGGAAGCAGAGAGGGAACTGGAAGGAAAGAAAGAAAGAAAAGGCAACAAATACTTCAAAGGAGGACTTTGAATGAGGTAAACTCAAAAACAGAGGATGAGAACTGTACCTGCTACTCAAATTACTGAGGCCAAATTTCTTTGCAACATTTTGCAACATCCTTACAGGATCATCTTCCCCAACACCTTTTCCCTTTTTGGAAGATTTGTGTTTGCTTTTCTGCCTTTCACTAATTGTATGAGCTTGGTTGCTTTTGTAAACCTCAAATGCTGCCTTCTGGTTATCATCCATGTGGCAATTCATTTTATTCATATGAGAATCTGAGGAGCCCTTACAGTCTTCTGGCTTTTTGTTCATGAGGATTCTTGGTTTGAAGCCATGAGTTAAGAAGTCACAAGTATCTGTATACATGAACTGTAAGAGGTATTCGAACAAGTCAGGATGGACTTTCTCCACCACGAAGAGATGGCACCCTGCAGCATCTTCATCTTTCCGGTACACATCTGTCAGTTCTGAAGGAGTGCCATCTGAAAGAAACAGCTTCTGGAAGAAGTCAGAGCGTACTGCTAACACGTATTTATGAGCAGGGAAGAGTCTGTTCCCAACTTGAAATGTCACATCGTGGATGTTGTCCATTTCATCTGTTTCCCTCAGGAGCTTGCCAAATTCTTCAAAAAAGGAGGATGAAGACACAACTGGAATTTCATAAAGACTAGAAATGAAACAAAGATAATTACTACTTTGAAGAAAACACAGAAATGGATCCCAAGCTGATTCCCTTGAAAAGAAATGCTTTACTTAAACGTAGAAATGTTCAACTCTGGCACTTACTAAATACCAGAATATCACCCAAAAAAATTGTTTAAATATTCTAGAAACATTTAATGTTTTTCTATAATGTTTAAACAACATAACTGAAAACAATAAAAATAAGAAAAGTCCCCAAGTTTTTCCTTTTTTACAAAACTTATTTTACAAGTGAAGAAAAAAAACAGGAACCAAGCAAATAAAGTCATAGATCAAGGATAGTTACTCATGCAAGTGAAAAATCTATATACAATCATTTTACAAACATGAGTGCTGTATGCCTGTAATCAAGCCCTGTTCATCTACATTTCACTCTACCAAGGAAGGCAATTAATGTTCTTGCTCTGCCTTGCACTGGGGGTTTCCCAGCTTATGACACTTTCAGTGCTAAACTGGGACCCTGGGCAAACCAGAAAGGATAGTCACCTGACTTCCAGCCCCGCTCCCACCCACCCCCTCTCAAATGCCACTGATTTTATCTTCTCCCTCTACTAATGTAGTTAGAACATGTTCCCTGGGACTTTACCCAACATGTGACCATACCACCTCTTTTATCAATTATCACATTTAAGAGTCAGGAACTTTTGTACCACCTAAGAAATATTTATAATCCATTCTTCAGAATCTGAGAACCCGGAGTCAAACATGTACTAAAGACAGACCCTACGTAGCCATGTGCATTTTACCTGAATGTTTTCAAAATCAGGTTATAAACTCGGGGAAACACACTATCCCCAGTGTAACAAGCACTCCCTTCTGATCTCCTTTGTAACACACTCATTTGTTAAAGCTGTCTAGATCTTGGTAACAGCTCCTCAATTTAATTTTCATCAGGAGCTACTGAAAACAGAAGAAGGTCTAGTGATTATTCCTTTTACAAATAAAACGGATTAAAGACGATTATACCTTGTTTTAGGGTCTGACTGTAGGATTGCAAAGTTGCACCCACTTGCATCTGTGCTGACACTAACAGCTCTATGTGCAAAAGGAAGTTTCTCCAGTCGAATTCTTTCATACACACTATTTGTATCAGACACACAAGACACATCTGATGAGGAATGATGCAGGTTTGGTAAAATGTCTGCTAAAAAGAAAATAAATGAACTATCATTAATCAAGGCTGCAATGAAATCACTAAAAAGACTTAGGAGTAACTGGAATAAAAAAATGATTTGAAAAATATAAAAGTACACATGAAGTCCTTCTGAGGAATTTAGTCCATCTTCAACTCAGATTAGATGCTGCATACTTATTACATACAGAGAATTTTCAGTATTAGCCACAATTTCTTCTCCCAACAAACACTTTCCACACTGCAACTGAAGTCACCTTTCACACTGGTAGCTCTATCCATATTAGCTTGGTATGAACCTAAGTGTCATCACAAGTTTCTCCCTTTCTCTTGTAGGGACTGAGCAAATACTGGAATGATCATACAGTGCCACTGTGACTCAGTGATCACCAATACAGGGCAATCAAGAGTCAGTAGGACAGAAATGTCCCTACCCTCAAAAGTTTAATCTAGCAAGGAAATCATACCTTAGAGAAATGACTACACTAGTCATTATTCTGGCTGCAGCAGAAAATAAAAGTTTAAATCAGAGAATATACATAAAGACTCTTATTACTTTAATTCCACACACAGAAATAATAAAAGATGGTATAAATTGGAACTATAGCAATCAATTAGGAGAGGGGAAAGGAACAATTAAAATAAAAAATCTAAGATAGGAGTAGTACAACTTGGTACAGGAAGGGGCATGGGGTGAAAACCCTGAAGAGCAGCTGGGAGCATGAGGCCATGGATTCTATCAGACCACTAAAAGAGTGGCGTAAATCTAAAGACTCGCAAATCTTCTTACAAGACAGACCTGTGCTCTGGTTACACTTTCAAATGTAGTCTACTTCAGTCTCCTGGATTTTGCTATGCTTCCTCTACTACTGTTATTCCCATCCCTACACTCATAAGAAACCCACATGCACATTGTACTAGTTATCTACCTCAGGGAACTTTAAATAAAAGGTGTCTCTGCACTCCATAAGCTATGAGGGGGCTTGTCTCCCACATTTTTAATCATTAAAACCCTGCCCTGGGGGCTGGAGAGATGGCTCAGAGGTTAAGAGCACTGACTGCTCTTCCAGAGGTCCCGAGTTCAATTCCCAGCAACCACATGGTGGCTCACAACCATCCGTTATGAAATCTGGTGCTGTCTTCTGATGTGCAGATATACATGGAAGCAGAATGTTGTATACATAATAAATAAATAAAATCTTTAAAAAACAAAAACAAACAAAAAAAACCAAACCCTGCCCTGTATCTAGCACAGTCAGTGCACCTCGAATCTTTACAGACTTGAGGCATCTATAAAGAAATAAAACAAATCAATATTATGTAAAATTCCTTTTATATTTAATAATTTTAAGCAGTATATAACTCTCAGAGTAATCATGAATGTTTGTAAGATATACTGTAAACATGTAACAACTAATTCATTGATTCAAGAGTAATGAAGGACCATGACGTGCCAGGGAATACATTAAACACTAGCAACATAGAGAGATACCCATGCCCTGTGCCATGAGTGACCTTCTGTCTATAGGAGATAGACACTGGACTAACCAGGCAAATCCACAAATGTAGGGGTAACCTTAGTGGTACCATCGCATCAAAGGCTGACTAGAGCACGGAAGTACAATCATACAAACTGACCTTTCTTTTCAGAAGTTTTTCTTTTGTCTTCAAACCATTTCCCTTTAAATCCTTCCCCATCCTGTGTGACAAACAGAATTTCATTTCTATTTAAAGCAATATCGGAGATTGACACCTGGCGTGGATAAGCCCATCGGCACTGCTTCAGAGAACTGCTAAGTGATCTCCAGCAAAACACCTACAATGAAATCAAACCACAGCACAATATAAAGCAACACAGCATCACAACAACCAAATTTGAATTTAAAATTGGCGCTGTCAAAATAAAATCCTTAACATGTGTGTTTTGATGATTATTGTTCCATATAAAAGAGATGCAGGAAAAACACACTGCATATAAAATAAATCTTTTAAAAAAAGAAAACAAAGAGAGAGATACTACAAAAATCAAGATGATGTTGGAGAACTACACCTTTCAGGAAAGTAGACTGAACAACATGAAATATTAAATGAGTTCCCGTGGCACTCCCCTGAAGGAGATGCTGTTTCCCATATGAGTTGCTTAGGGCAAACAGTCCCGCTGAAGTATTATTAGCACACCAAAATGCTAGAGCCAACACTTTAATGTAATTACCAAACTCATTCCAATTCACTCCTAAGGATAAAAAGAAGATATACTTAATTGTATAGCTAAAACAAAGTCTTAAATAAATAAGTGACCCCAGTTTAGTGACTCCTAGCAGTCCTGGGAATAGGTTAGGGAGTACTGCTAACGTACTGAAGGATGTAAGGGGAGGGTGCTGGGCTGTCCTGCACAACCTTATCTACAGGTGCAGCACCTGTGTCTGGTCACATGTCACCTTCTACGTTTGAAACTGCTGATAGCAAAGGAGGAGCTATTGACTTGTTTTAAGACAGGAGCCTATTATACAGTCCAGGCTAGTCTGAACACTGGCCTCACTGTCCTATGCACTGGGATTAAAGAGTGGTTCACCATATCCAGCTAAAACTGATGATTTCCAAAAGTCTGAGTCCTCATAATCAATTTTTGAAAATAATGGCTGCAACTTGTGCCTGTACACACACCAGGAGGTGGAGCTTTGCAATTCCATCTTGTTGTGTCTGTTTATCTTTGAGGGGCAGGGTTGAAACAGGGTTTTCTAAGCAGCCCAAGCTATACTGCATCTTCCTATGCAGCCAGCATGGACTCCAACACAACGTCTCTGCCTCAGTCTCCAGTGTGCTAGGACTACAGGAAAGCACCATTGTGCCTGTCTAAAGTCTTCGGTGTTTCAGGAGGAAGGAAGGGGCACTCTGTGGTTCTGACAAACATGCCCAGACGTGATTCTTCAATTTTTAAAATTTCAAGCTTCATATCACTATTTAAAACTCACAAATATCTTATCCTGTCATTATTTTATGAGAAGAAAACTGTTTTCTTAACCAGCATGTGATTTTTATCAGTATTACTAATATATAAAAGTTAAATGTAATGTTAAATATATTTAAACTTCATAATACTATTTAAAATTTAAAATATCTGTATTTTATAATATAATTATGAGCCTGTATTAAGCATGTCTTTATCATTAAAAAAAAAAAATTTAGGTAGAGCTGGTGAAATGGGCTCCCAGTTAAAAATGCTTGCTGGCCAGCCTGATGACCTAAGTTCAATATAAAGAGAGGAATTCCCACAACTTTTCCTCTGGCCTCCATAGAAGTGTACCACAGCATGTGCTCACACACAAATAACTTAAAAATTAAAAACACTTAAACCAGCCATTCTGTTAGAGAAATGCATTGATATATTTGTACAGGAATGAAATTACAGTTAAGAGATAAGACCTAGAAGCACATTATTTATACATTTAAAAGAATAAATGGCATCATAATCTCTACACACATAGACGATACATACATTTGGGGACAATCTTTTCAATTATGGCCCAAATGTGTAATATATTGCATGTTTACTGATATAAAAATGATTATATGACATTATCTTCTTTCTACAACTTTCAACACTGTTTACGGATATTCAGTTTACATATCAAATAATTCAAACTACTTATTTTAAGAACAGCAAGTGAAGCTTTAAGCTGCCGTTCAGCAACATTACTGTGCACCATTGAGTTAGAGACAGTCCTGTGTGTCTCTGGAACCCAAGTTCTACACTAGGATGTCAAAGAAGGGAAGGAGCATCAGTAGTAACCATCAAAAACCAGGCACTACACTCCACATTATCACATCTACACAAATCACATTACTTTGTCCTTAACATAGATACTCACCCTTCCAGCTCCATCCATAGCAAGGATGCATATTTTCTGACCCCCATTTTCTGTCAAATGTTCAGGATCAACCTTGTATTCCATACAACCTCCAGACACAAGAACCTTTTTCAAGTTTAGCTGTCTGAGTGGAAAAAAAAAAAATTATAAATTAGCATTCTCTAAAGCACACATGATTAATTTTATAGAAATATTATTCAAACAATTATTGACAAGGAAAATAGAAAGATTCCACCTCAACTCACTGCAGCCCTCCCAGGCAGATCTTTCTTCCTACAGCACATCTCTCCTTTCAAAGCCTCTACTTACCCAAACCCCACTTGGCTAAGGTAAATACTCACTTGAAGGTTCTTTCACTGGAACTCTATCAGCTCCTAAGTATATCCATATCTTAACATAAAAAAATTAAAAATAAGACAAAAATGCCTAAATATGGCCAATCCTAAAGTCACACATACCATGAAAGTCATCACCGCGGCTAATACCTCATCCATCAGGCACACATTTGCTTTTCTGTATGTCTGATATGCAGAACACAGTATAGAGCCAGCCCTACAACTGCCGCTATTCTACAACTGTCTAACCTCTCAGAAAGTTTACCTGCTTTGACAAAAAATACTAGTTTCAAAGTTATCATGTACTAATTTAATCTGCATCAAAACAATTTCTTAGTGAAAATTTGGAAGGAAGGTATAGTTATACAACGTAATATGTTCAGGAAAAACTTTTAAATGTTTTACAAATGTTAATAAAACTACAATTTAACATTCCACAAGTCAACTCACACCTTATTTAATTAGTTCTAAGAAACACAGGTGATCACATGTTCATGATTCTGATACAAAAATGCAAGCTACAATCAACGTCCGATAGGGAAGACAGGCTGTGCCACCTGGGTGTAACACTTTCAGCTCAGAGCTGCTTCACGTTAACAACCTGAAGAAGTCCCTATCTCAGCATCACTATCATGCACAAGCAAGAACATGTTCTCTATGTTTCCAAGTTATATTTTTCCAGGAATAAGTTATAGTTGGGCAAAAAAATATTTCCATGCCTGTATTCCCTACTCTAATAAATACGATAGAATGAAGCACTGCTCAAATATGGCTCTTAAATATCAGTCTGAAAAAAAAAAAGATTTCTCTACAACAGGTGAATACTTTGGAAGGACCTAAAACAATATACTGTCAAATCAGATGTGGGTTAATCAACTACTAAAGACTGAAATGTATCAGAAACACAAATTACTTTACAATTATTTTTAAATACCTGCTCTCTGTATCACTCTAAACAAAATCACAGGTGTAATACTATGAGAACATGTATAAGTGAAAGGCAGAGAGCTACAATTGGCATGTGCACCTATGCCTAAATTTGATTCTCAGTCTCTGATATCTCAAGTAACAGCTAGTTTACTGCAGGTTGCCACGGCATGCTAAACACAACAGGCTACACTATACAAGGATAAGCAGCATACCACTAAGATGTAAAGAGTGAGCCTAGATAGAGTGTTTATGATAAACAATTGTTTTTAATAAATAGTATATAAGATATTAAAGTCTACAGATGATATAGCGACCATGTTATAAACCAAGAATGAGGATTAGTCTCATTCTGTGTAACAGTTACATTAAGAAGAAAACTAAACCTTTTGGGACATATCTTATGTTACATATGATTCAAAAATATTATTTTATAATTAGCAAACTGTTATATATCCATTGGATCCTTATCAAAAAAACAAAAAAGTCATCAAAGAAAACCATGAAATTTTCCCTTCCATTCTGTCTTCTCACAAAGCACAGCATGAACCTAGCAGTCAGTGAACAGCTGGAGAGCTGAATTCTTATAGCTTATAATGACAGGCTTCTTTTCCAGAAACACACATACTTAGTTGCCATCTTCTTGCATTGGTAGTCTGCAAGTAAGTAAATATCTCCCCTTGTGGTCACACAGACAGTGGCGCCATCACTTGCAGCTACCAAAGACACAGAAATATCCTTATGATGAAGGGCAGAGACTTGACGGGGGGTAGTGACACACTTTTCTCCATTGGGATCCAGTAAGTGACCTAAAAATTTACACAAATAAGCAAACCATAAGATATCTATTCTAAGATTATACTGTAGTTTTTAGATATTGCATGGGAGATTTCTTACCCAGCTGTCCACCATTCAGTCCCAATGTGTAAACGGCTTCTCGAGTCCACAGCACGGTATGAAACCTGCCAGCTGCTACTCCAATGACAGTCTTTCCTTTCAGGTATTTTGCCTGTATCTATTGAAAATGACAAGCAAGACTTCAGCTGACTACATATCTAAAATCTAGTGCAATTTTCTCTCAGACACAGTACACCGGGTAATAAACATCCTCCTCACAACCTCTGCCATCTAACTGCTAACACATCTCCCCACTCCCACCAAGACCCAGATCCTCAGAACACACATGCAGCCACTTTCAGGCATCAGTTTTAACAACTCAAACTAGCATTGTACAAAACGCAAATCATCAGATTTCAGCCATAGAAAAAAATTTACAAAGTAACCATTCTTAAAAAGAAATGGGGATTTTTAAATCTTCTCTATCCAGGGTCTCACAATGGTAATACAGTTGACATTTTAGCACAGATGATTTTCTCCCATGAAGGGCTGTCTTCTGCACACATGGACTCTACCCACTAGCTAGCTATCATCAACACCACCATCCCACTCCTGCTGAAACTGTCTTCAAATACTGCCAGGTGGCCCCTGAGAAATAGAAGCTTCCCTGTCAACCCAGGATTTCAAGGTGCCTATAAAATGATGATAAAATAGGAGTGCAATCTACGTGCTGTTCCTACAGAATGCCACAAAACTAAATACCCACAAGCTGATAAGTTGAAGACACAGATCTTTTTTAAAGTATCCAACTAGAGGCTACACCCAAATATCCTGGAGTAATACTGCTGATCCATTTGCAATCCAGAAGAGAAAAGAGAAAGAATTATATGCTTGATTAAAACTGTCAATTCAATAATAATTTTAGATACAAAGGATTAAAGGATAAGGGAATTTAACATATAAGACATATAAATCCTAAACTGAAAACATCTGTCATGGGTGATGAGTCTAATAAAAGATTAGTTTAGAGTACTCCTCCTAGTCCATGTTTCTAAGTCTGGGAAACAGGCACCTTTTGATGGTGTCCATGTGCTGATGGAAGTGGGAGAATGGTGGACTTTGACCCACATACTCTCTTGTCAGCAGGCATGACACTAGAGTAGAGACACATTTAATAAAGCAAAGACTTTTTTCTTAGTGCCTTGCTTGTGCAGGTATATCTATATTGATAGATTTCTTTTTAAAGAAAACAAGTTTCAAACTAAAAACTCTGGGACTGAGAGTAAAATGAAATAGTAAAAATCATGTCTAGCTTGCAAGAATCTTGAATGCGATCTCTAGCACCAAAAAACGGAAAAACAGAATGAAAAATCAAACCACATTCATCTCTGTTTCTAAACACTTTAAAGTTAAATCTGTGGGCTCCTGAGATGGCTCGGGAGATAAGAGCTCATATTGCTTGCAGAGAACCTGAGTTCAGTTCCTAGGACCATGTTGGACAGTCTACAACCACCCGTAACTCCAGCTCCTTTCTACATCCAGAAGGCACCTGTCCTCAGGTGCACATTTACACAGAGACACACACACAATTACAAGTAATTTTTTTATAATCTTTAAAGTTAACTCTCTGGTAATTTAGTAGGTAATCTTTCAAGTGCATAACCTCTCCAGTGCTTTTATTTTTAACTTCAAATGAATGCTAGTCTGTACTGTCGTTTCCTTATGGAAAAAGAAAATGTAGGGAGCACAGGAAACCCTGAGTGAGTGAGGTCCCGAGCTAATGTGTTCTGATGACATGGGCACAGCCATGTGGAGGGCTCTAATTCCTCAGCTGCAGGGAATGGCAAAGCCTCACCTGGGTAAGGCTCAAGAGCAATGGCAAAGCTTTCCTCCGGAGCTTTATGAGTGTTTATGAACAACTGGCCAGTGTGGGCAAAGACTAGCAACTGCAGCTTCCCCTCCTCCTGGATGTTTATAGCCTGAGACTGTATGCAGAGGCCTCCTACCAAAACCAGAAATCCTTCCTGCTGTGCTGCTCCTAATACACATGCTGAGGTTCCAGGGTGCTGGTGGCAGTAGGTAACCATCCATCAAAGTAAGCACACTACCACTTGATCCCAGCTTTCCTATACATAGGTCTGTCTGTCCATCCTTTCTTCATGCTCTCACTACTACTAGTGAGAGCCAAAATTCCAGGACCCAAGCTACAATGGTCACATCAGAAAAGTATGTATCATATCACTGAAGATGAAGTTAACTAAGTAAATACAGTTACTCATTAATAAGTTACATCTGTTATCCATATACACTTTATAGCAAATAAACACCTTATTGGTTACAAACAGGAGCTTACCTGTCTGGGTACATTACAGCTGGAAGGTGGGGGAATAATTCCTAGTTGGTGAAAAATGTTGAGACCAAATGTAAAAACACACCCATCTTCAGTTAACACAACAGTGTGATCCTTGGCAGCTGCTACTTGGGAGCAATTGTGACCAATCAATCCTTCCACAAGCCTGGGAACCTAGGAAACGGAGTTAATTTGATTATTATACACTAGTCTATAGTAAAAACGCACACACACTCTGTGACACTACATCCAAAATGGCTTGACTAAAAGACTGCCCATTCCAAAGGCAAAGTCTACATCACATCAAAGGGCAGGTAAACTATTAAAATTATATTATTTAAGAGCAAAACAGATATAGGACCAGTAGGGAACGTCAATCTAATAATTCAAGTGAGTTTTAAAACATTTTTAAAAACTGTTTATTGAATTTTTTTCTCTGTGTGTGTGTGTGTGTGTGTGTGTGTGTGTGTGTGCGCGCGCGCGCACATGCACCTGCCTGTGTGCGCAGACACGCATCACATGATACACGTATGGACGTCATAGGAAAACTTGTGGGATCTCCCCCTGGAATCAATCTCAACATGTCAGGCCTCCAAATACCAGCTTAGCCAACCTGTTGGAGCTCCAGTGACTTTAAGTCCTTTCTGTATCCCAAATGCAAATTTACTGGCATGAATAAAAAGGAGCCTGTGGTGGTTTGAAAGAAAATGGTCCCCAAAGGGAGTGGCACTATT